TGATGAAGCCTTACTGCATAACCTGCGCCTTCAGATCGAAGCCCAGTTTCTACAAGACGATATCAGCGCGGCAAAGGACAGGTACAAAAAGGTAACCGCAACCCTTCTGAAAGCCCTTCGCCCAGATGACCCAGTTCGGGTTTGTCCAGACAAGTTGGGGGCACTCGTGGTTGAAAGGTGAGACTGCTAGAGCATGTTACTTTTGTGTGCATTGCCCCTGAACCAGTGGGTGATGGGTTGGTTACTGGACAGCTCTTGGTGAGTGGACATAGAGGAGGAGGCAATAATGTGTGTGTGTGTAGAGGGGGTGTTGGGAACTAATAATTCTATAGTACATTACAGTTTACAAAGTGATTTTACATAAGTCTGTCTTGATTAAGGTACAATCTGTCAATTGTTTCAGCTCAAAAATGGAAGAAATGCAGAAAATGCTATATATATAATCTTTTAACTCTGCTTCTGAGCCAGTAAATTCAGGGAGTACATGGCATTCAGGAGCCTCCTCTCATGTAATGCTTGGCCAGCTTTTCACAGGCCTTACTCTTGGGGACGTTGGTGTACTGGAAAAATCAGATCCCGGAGCTGTGTGATTATGGGGGTGTGACCTAACCATTCTGAGCTGCTTTATTTTCAAAAGCAAATGTCAGACTGTTGTCCACAGAGCTGTGTGGTTAACTGAATGTGGCGGACCTGTGGCCATGACCCTCAGGGCTGACCTCTCCAGTGGGCTCTGTCCTCCCTCCAGCTGCCAGTATCGGCAGCCCTCCCTCAGAATTTTATCCAGGCAGTGGAGGGCTGTTCCACCTCACAGGAAGTGCTGGGGACTTAACATCCAGGCAGCAGCCTCGGCCAGTGACCGACGTGAGTTGGCAGATACGTCTCCCAGCTCCCTCTCTCCTCCCTGTCTCGCCACCCCACTCCATTGCTCATGTTTCCTGGCGTGTTTGCTCAGCTAAACTGTTTCATTCAGATTCCTCTCTTGGGGTCTGTACTTAGTCAGCGGGGGCTGCTATAGCAAAGTACCATGGATTGGGTGGCTTATAAGCAACAGAAATTTATTCCTCACAATTCTGGAGGCTGGGACATTGAGATCAGGACACCAGCATGGTCAGGTTCTAGCAAGGCCTTCTTCTTGCCTTGCAGACGGCCACCTTCTCCCTGAGTGCTCACCTGGCCTTTTCTAGGAGCATGTGCATAGGAGAGTGAGCGAGTGAGCTCCCTGGTGCTTTTATAGGGGCACTAACCCCATCGTGGGCCTCCCTCATGACCACATCTAAATGTAATTATTTCCCAAATGTCCTACTTACACATACCATTCTACTGGGGGTTAGGGCTTGAACATGTAAATTTGGGAAGGACACAGTATTCAATGTGTAACAGTCTACTTCAGGGGAAACCCAGAATGAGGTAATATGATAATACAGGTGAAGCACCTGGTGCACCTGGAGCTTGGCAAACGCTCAGTAAATATTAGATTCTCTTCCCACCTTGGTGTATACCTGCTTCAGCATAAAAGCGGCCCTTGCGTTGAAGGAATATTCCCCCTCTCTTTGGCTTCCTCCAACTTCCCATCAGGTCCAGTCTGGTCTTCCCTGTGCTCCTGCCTCTGCTGTACTTTATTGGAATCCTGGGAGCAGTGCTTGGGGACAGTTTCTAAGAAGCTGAAAACATTCTTCAGAGCCATTTAAGAATAATGATAATAAGCACTCACACTGTGATGCTTTATCTCATTGGATCCCAACAACAGCCTCATGAGATAGTGTCTTAGGTCAGGCTCCCCATCAGCAGAGCCTGAGGTGGTGATTTTTGTGTGACTGCTATATGGGTGGAGAGCACCCAGGAGAAGGGGCGGGAGGAAGAGGAGTGGGACAGCACGGGGATAGGAGCTGGCAGGGACCTGGGCTCTGCGTGAGCCTCAGTCTGGTCCCACCATAGGGGTGGGGGCTCTGGAGCACGAGTCACAACACAAGGTTGTTCCAACCTTGAGGCAAGAGAGGTGGTTTCTTGAACTCTTGTGCCAATGAGTCCCTGACCTGGGTTGGGGTTGAGGCAGGATTTGGGGCGAGTTGCATAGTTTCCTGGATAAGATGACCATTTTCTGACCAAGGGCAGTTCTCTGGAGAGGAGGCAGCTGTGTGATATTATCAGTCCTTACGCACAGAGCTGGGCAGAGGTGTTCTTCAGATTGTTATCCTGCTTTTATAGAAGAGCCTGAGTTTTAGGAGGTATAAATAGCTTGTTTGAGGCCTCACGCAGGTAATTGATTTAATCTGGGGCCGACTGACCAGATTCCATTCTTTGAAGTCCTGTTCTAGTGTCAGAAAGGGTCCTTTGAACCGTCTGGAGCGTCTTTGTCCTCCATTTCTGCTTTTTTCTCATACCTCTGCCACCCAGGGCTCTGTGGAGACAGCAGCAAAGCATCTGTGTAACTGAAGGGAAATGTCAAAATAAACCGAGCCTCAGTTTATTTATCTACCCCATTGTTCTAGTGAAGATTAATTAAGGATGTAAAGTGTCCTCTGCACAGGTCGGGCCTGTCCTATTTGTGATGGTGGAACATGTGAAAGCCTTCATCCCTGTGGTCATTTGATCCTGGAGGGAGGGACTCCGGAAGCTCAGATTTTAATGAGAACGCTTTCTTTCCTCCAACAGAATCTTCTGGAAATTCAGACCTATGTCAGCATCCTGCAGCAGATCATCCAGACCACCCCTCAAGCATCTATAATTACAGGTGGGATGCGGGAGGTAAGAATCGAAGCCCTGGCTGCAGGGGAAAGCACATTCGAAGATTGTTCTGACGTCTTTGTGGGGCTAGTTACAGGTACGCAGGGAGAGGCGTCAGGCCAGATTGCGTGGAGCTGCAGTGGGTTGACTCCTCTCCACTTTGACCTTATGTTCACATTTAAAGTTTTCTGTTCTACTACTCAGACTGCGAATGCTGCTCTTTAGACATCTGAGGATATAAACTGTGTCCCTGGCCATTTTCTTAGGTGTTTTCCTTGAGAATCATGGGTTGTTCTTCCTTGTATAGTTTATAAGAAAACTGCCAGACTGTTTCCCAAAATGGTGTATCCTTGTTGCATCCCCACCAGCAACGTGGGGGAATTTCACTGGCTTTGTGCCCTTATTAGCACTGGGTATGTCAGGTATTTATTTACTTTTGCTTGTTGCTCTTCTGATAGGTATGCTGTGCATCTCACTGGGGTTTTAACTCCATCACCTGATGACTAATGATGTTGTGCATCTTTTCATGTGTTTATTTGCCATTCATATATCTTCTTTTTTGGAATATCTACTCAAGTCTTTTGCCCATTTTTTAATGGGTGGTTTGTTTTCTTAATCCTCTTATCTATTTGACCGTAAGTTTTGAATACAGAGAGCCTCAGATATTAGTGACTGTATTTTCAGGGTCAGGGTCTGCTAATGATTATGTGAGTCTGTGGCATGAAAACTTTCTGGAAAGGATAGAGATTATTGAAGCCAACTTTTTAAAAATGGGGATTTGGATGTGAAACATTATTTTCAATATAATGTTCCATGTTCCTTCTTCACTTAGCTCTCTAACTGCACAAAAGGATATCAATGTATTTTTTTCTTAATGTGTTTTATGGGAGTTTGTGATGCATAGTATGATACATATAAACATACACCATAAAGAATGCAGATTAAAACAGAAATGTCATGTGTTTCTTCTCCAGAGGTTGTGGTAGTCTGGTACCGGGGTTTGTGGACTGGTCAATGGATAAGATGCTTTTTTGTTTGTTTGTTTGTTTTTGGTAAGGATCACTTAGAATAGTGGTTCTCAATCCTGGTGGCACTAAGAATTGCCCAGGAGTCTGTCCAGACCACATCCCAAGTCAGTTGGCCGCCTGTATAACCAGTGGGCTAGGGCAGCTGACTGCTTGAGTATTTTTTGTTTTAACTTAATTTTTATTTTTAATATCAAAGCTTAAGAAATTTCCAAACTTGCTTTTGAAGACACTCTTGAACTCTACCAAATAACATCTAAGAGGCAGGAAAGTCTCTTTTTTTTTGGCCTTCACGGGACAATTTTTGTCCGCCAATGATCATTTCAGGTTTCTACTTTCCTCAGTGAAACCGAGGTTGCTACAAAGGCCTAAATTAGCTTTTCCTAAAGCCTTTTCTTTGTCAGAGATTTCTTTCCAGATACCTCCTTTTTATTTTGCAAACACATTTTTCCCTCTAATTCAAAGGTGTTTTACACCAGAGCACATTTTTTTTTTTTGCAGTAAATTAGGCATTGCTGCTAATTTATTTTTTATTTATTTTTATTTATTTTTTATTTTTTTAAGTTTATTGGGGTAACATTGGTTAATGCAATTATATAATTTTCAGGTGTACATTACAATTTGATATCTAAAAAATATGGAACGCTTCACGAATTTGCGTGTCATCCTTGCGCAGGGGCCATGCTAATCTTCTCTGTATCATTCCGATTTTAGTATATGTGCTGCTGAAGCGAGCACCAGAGTACATTTTTTAAATCATGTCATCTGTTCCATGTAATGAAATTCTTCTGAGTTATAAGACTGGGGAAACTGATTAGGCTTCTTCTGAGGGCTTCACTTGTTGGCGGTGATCGTTGGCCTCGCAAACCGCAGACCCATTGGGTGAGAATCTGCATTTTAGCAGTATCCACAGGGATCCATGTGCACGTTAAAGGTGGAGAAGCACAGATTTAGAAAGAATCACATTCTTGATTAATCTTAGCTTAAAAATTCTACATACAAGTTAGATGGTCACTTTCAGGTTGTGTCATTGACTCTTATATCATCCTAGAAAATGTGTGTCACATTTGCTCAAATGAGGATGCAATTAGCATTGCTAATTATAGAAACACAGGTCAACTGGTTAATGTGTCAGTAAGCATAATGTCAGTGCCCTGTAGTCAGAGGCCACTGGGGACAGGCCTGTAGTTACATAAAGCTGGATTTATTTTTCACTGCAGGAAGGGAGGGTGTATACTGTGGACACTTGTAGAGTGTCTCAGTGTGTTAGGTGATCTGGGGGAGGGGTCAGGTAAGCAGGGTCCTGCTCTGGGTTGGGTGCTGACAGGAGGGAGCTGGTCCTATGACCAAGCGTCCTGATAATTTGTGTCTAGGAGGCAGAGGAATGGAGTGTGGCTAAAGCTGTACCTGGAAATTGAGCAGCATCACTCGTGTTCCGGGAGAGCAGATGTTGGCCATTTTTGTGGTTACGTAGTAGTCTTTTGGTCTGAGCTCAGACATAGTTACAGAGGGGTCTCGTTTCTGTCTCGTTCACCCATGGTCCCAGAGTGACATCTTCAGATGTTGGGTGTGGCATTATTTATAAGTAGGGAGCATCATGGCCTGGCAGTTAGTTCCAGCTACTAGCTAACAGCTTCAGGGCTATCTCCCTTCATCTTCAATTAGTATCCGAGGGCTGTGGGCAGGTGTGGAGAGGCATGTAAGATGAGTAGGAGCGAGGCAGTCAGAAGATGTGGGGCCAGACAAGCAGGCAGGGCCCTGGTGGGAAGCAGTGTAATACATTTACACTGGATCCGCTTCTATCCTGATGCTGCAGGTCTAGGATGTGTGGTATATCTCCATATACTTTATGTCCTCCGTATATTGATACCGAGGGGCACAAGTCCCCTTCTGCTCCAAGCTACCCCCTTGTCTGCATCTTTGAGGCAGGGAGGTAGGGACTGAGATAAAAAGAAACAGAGGACAGAGACAGACTGAGAGAACTGCGAGAGACTGAGAGCTTGCGTTCCTCCGTGTACCGAGAAACGCAGGCATAAACACATACAGTCGAAGAGGTCCTTCTACAGTTATGTCTCAAGTCCCGCCTTCCCCATGGGGTCAGACCATAGGACCAGACACACATTTCCTCTTTAAGCACATCTGTCTTGCTTTGGCTGGCTCTGTGTTGCTGCTCCAGCCACTTTTCAGGGAGAGGCGGGGCTGCCTTAAACACATGGCCTTGAACATGGTGCACTGACACATGCTTGTTTCTGACTTTGCCTGGCTGTGAGGCCATGTTCTGTGTCAGAGGCACTACTCTTGAGCAGTCAGGCTTTTGTGAAGCAATTTGGACGTTTCTGAATAGACAGTGGAGAGGCTGATTGAGGGAGGATTTCCTTCCAGAACATTCTGTGGAGTGTTGGTAGGCAGTGCAGCAGTGCACCAGGGCCCTGGCTTCTCTTGTGCCCCTTGGCTCCTGCTTTGTGTAGCAGCATCTTGGAATAGTTGATGGTCAGGGCTCAGACTGACCATGCCTTCTGCAGACACGGAGAATAGAGCCTTACAAGAGACTGCATTCTGAGTGTTCCTTTTGACAGAAGGGAAAGTGCCTCGTCCAGACTTTGTGGCACAACCAGCTCTAAAATGTGGGTCTCCTGACAATGTCTTCACATTTTACACTCACAGCATTTATGGTTCAGATGTTGAAGACAAGGCGAAAAGGCATTAACAGTGGCCACCATGGGCCTGTCTTTGCTCCGGCTGCTCTAATGAATTTCACAGATTGGGTGGCCAGCAGATTCAGTTCCTGGTGCGAACCCGCTTCCTGATTTGTAGATAGCCACTATCGCAATGTGTTCTCATGTGGCCTTTTTTTTTTTTTTTTTGGTGTAGCACAGAGATAGAGCTCTGGTGTCTCTTTATTTTCTTATAAAGACACTAATCCCATCCTGGGGACCCTACCCTCATGACCTCATCTAAACTTAATTACCTCTCAAAGGTCCCAGCTCCAAGTACCATCCCACTGAGGGTTAGGGCTTCAGCATATGAATTTGGTGGGGATGCACAAACCTGCAGAACATAACCAGGCCCACACCTCCTCACCCCTTTCCCTTTTGGATTTTCTCACATGTCAAGTGTGTGTGAGTGCTGAGTCTGGCCTTCTTTGTGCAGGAGAGGCTCCTGACTGAGCGGGAGGCAGCCGCCCTGCAGAGTCAGCTGGAGGAGGGCCGGGAGGTGCTGTCTCTCCTGCAGGCGCAGAGAGCCGAGCTACAGGCCCAGGTAGGCCCTACCTCCTCACGTCCCCAACTTGCTGTTGGACATCCAGGGTTTACAACATGTTTTATTCAGTGTCAGGTCTGTGCAGAGAAGTGCACGCGTATTCAGCTTGGTGATTCTCACAAACACAACACACCTGTGTGCCAGTGCTCAGCCAGAAACAACACTCTGAGTGGGGTGACCAGCTGTCTGGCTTTGCCCTGGACTGAGGGGTTTCTCAGGGTGCAGAATAGAAAAGTCCTAAGTGAACAGAGACAGTGGGTCCCACTAATTCCTGGCCCCTCAGAGGGTGCCCTCACACCCCCCTTCCCCACCAAGGGTAAGGCTGTCTGTAAAATCTGTCCATTTTTGCCCAGTTTAAACTTGTTTTTAAAAATAAGAAATGTATACATGTTGGGATTTTTATTTTACACTTCCTCAAATCTGTGCTTCCTGTTTCTCTTTTGACCTAAAAGTTCTCCTTTGGAATTTGGTTACAAACCTGGAAAAGAATAGTTATGTCAATGTTTGCTCAGCTCAGAATTCCACATACCCCATCCCCCTTTTTTGGAGTGAATTTTATGTTGAAAACTAAACTGAACAGAAAAGCTCAGTCCTGTTTCCATGGTACACCATTTTGGTGACCCGGTAGTGTGTGGTTTCCTCTGAGGTCCTGAAAGGATAGAGGGAAGGTGTATGTGTGTGTATATGTGCGTATTGTATGTATGTGTATGTACATGTGTGTATATGTGCATGTGTGTATTATGTATGCATGTGCATATATTTACATATATGTATATATGTATACGTGTGTGTGTGCATGCGTGTGATTGAGGAAGTGGACACAAGCTCAGTCGTTGTCTAGACCAGTGTTTTTCAAAACAGTAGTTACAGCTCATTTTCAGGTTGTAAAATGAATTCAGTAGAATTGACTGGAATTGAAAAAGAAGAAATTGACACAAGGCTAAGATAGAATAAGAAATAACAGAGTGCTTGACAATTAGAAAGGGATTTATTTTGTGACACCATGTTTTTAATAAATATGTATATATAAATATATATTCAAATAAATGCACACATATTTATATGATATGTATGGTTTATGATATAAAATGTGGTTCTTCTTGTGGCCCTGGTGATAAAGTTGAAAAACACTGCCTTAGATACTGAGACAGATGGAAGAACCCAGCCTGATGTGGTAAATTCCAGCTCCAGAGCAAAAGAATGTTTCTCCCTCTACGTACACATATGTATTTGCTGAGTATGAAACTGAAACATTTCATAAAGGATTAACCTATCTTCTGAGACTAGGAAATGGAACTGTCTGGTTGGCCACCTGTCCCCACCCATAGTTGCTGCAGAAAGACTTACTCGTAATAGTCTGATGTCGTTTTCTCTCTAAATTGGAGGGCTTTACCTTTTCTTCTGTGCTATTTCCTCCTGCTGGTAGTCTTGTGAAGCCCCTGGACTCCCTTCTTAGGAAAATGTTGAAGGTCTATAATAAAAATAAAGTCCGTATATAATTAAAAGGAAACCAATTCTATTGAAACAGTTATCAAAATGTTACCAAATCATATCCTGTATAATAATATATGTACTTACATTAAATACAGTAGTCCCTCCCTTATCCACTGTTTCACTTTGATGGTTTTAGTTACCTGCGGTCAACTGTGGTCAGAAAATATTAAATAGAAGATTTCATAAATAAACAATGCATAAGTTTTAAATTGTACATCGTTCAGAGTGGCGTGATGAAATCTTGTGCCATCCCCCTCCGTCCCACCTGGGACGCGAATCATCTCTGTCCCACGTCTCCACATTGTATATGTTCTCTACCCCTTAGTCATTTAGTAGCCATTTGGGTTATCAGATCTACTGTTGGGATATTACAGTGCTTGCGTTCAAATAACACTTATTTTACTTAATAAATGCCCTAAAATGCAAAAGTACTGATGCTGGCAATTTGGATGTGACAAAGAGAAGCTGTAAAGTGCTTCCTTTAATTGAAAAGTGAAAGTTCAGTACTATCTTTGTTTTCAGGCATCCACTGGGGGTCTTGGAATGTATCTCCCGTGGATAAGGGGGGACTACCGTAACAAACTCTAGCAGTGGGTCTAATGAAACAGAGGTTGTATTAGTTTTCTCTTGCTGCCGTTATGAATTACCTCAAATATAGGGGCTTAAAACAGCACTTTTATCTCACAGTTTTGTAGGTTAGAAGTCTGGGCAGGCTTGTTTCTCTCTGCTCCAGGTCTCACAGGCTGAAATAAAGTTGTCAGCCGGCCTTGGTCCACCTCATCTGGAGGCCCTTGGGGAAGAATCTGCTTTCAGCATCCTTCAAGTTGTTGGCAGAATTCAATCTTGTGTGTCTGTAGAATCAAGGATCACATTTCTTTGCTAGCTCATCTAATCATTCTAACTTCTGCTTTTAAGGGCCCATGTGATTAGAAATACTAGAATAATCTCCTTGTTTTTTAAAGTCAACTGATTAAGAACTTTTATTACATCTGCAAAGTCCCTTTTGCCAAGTAATGTAACACGTTCATAAGTGTTAACACCAAGGGGCAAAGGTCATGGGGATGGAAATTTTGCTTAATTAACTTTAATTAAAACAGATATGGCTGGGCCTACTCAAGAGTTTCTGACTCAGTAGGTCTGGGGTATGGCCTAAGAATTTGCATTTCTAAGTTTCTAGATGCTGCTGTTGCTGGTCTAGGAACCACACTTTGAGAACACTGGTGTGGGGACAGATCCCAGGCTGGGATGGAATGTTCTACATCTGGTCCACTTGAGTCCCTAGCTTGGGCCCTCCACACCCTTATTCAGGCTGGCTTTTGCTGATTTTAAAAGGTTTTAGTGGCTTCCTAACGTAGTAGCTAAACTGAGTGCTCAAAAGGAGATTGGGTGGCATGGCCAGTGCTATGACTGGGGAACACAGAGGAGGTTGGAGGAGGAAGAGCTCCTTGTAGCCTGAGGGATCCAATGTGACAGGGTTCTGCCTATGGTTAGGGCATCTGATGCTTCCAGAACCCTCTACAGCGGAGGCCTAACGGTGAGCTCTCTGAACCAGCAGCATCAGCATCACTTGGGAACTTGTCAGAAATGCAAGTTCATAGGCCCGTCCCAGACTTACTGAATCAGGAGCTCTGGAGTGGGGCCCAGCAATCTGTTTTAACAGGCCTTCCAGATGGTTCTGAAGCTCAAATTTGAGAACACTAGTCCACAGAATGGGAGACACAGCACCCATCCCTTTGGGGATGGCACTTATAGGTGGAAGAGAAAAGGCAGGCACTTCTGATTCTTTAAATTGCATCGACTGAGAGTTTCTGTGACAGGAAAGTGAAAAACGTCATATATTATTTGGAAAGTGAACCTCCCGGGTAGCATTTCTAATTAAAGTTGCTTGGCACCATCTAGTGGTAGGTTTGGGTAAAACAGTGTGTAATCAGTGAGGATATTTGAATTCTTGTTTTCCTTTTTGAAAAAAGACCTGGACCCAAAGGAGTCTGGGGGCCTAAGGAGATTGATGTAGGAGGTCACCCCTCCAGATGTGGCTCACTATGAGGTGCTGTCTTGGGGCCCTGTTGACCCCTTCTTTGCAAAGGCAAGCCCCGCTGCTATGCTTGAATACTTTTTCATTCAACCTCTACTGCCAAGCTCCACTTGAGATTCACGGGATACTGAGCAGAGCATGGCATGGCTCTTGCCCTTAGCTGCTCACAGCTCAGTAGGGAGATGGCTATAAACCAGATGATATAACTGGTAAAAGCAGAAACACAATAGTCACCTTTGCTCAGGATGAAGTTCAAATTGCCACATGGCCCACACCTTCCACCTGCTTCTCTCTCCAATATCCGCTTGGCTGTTCTCTTCTAAGAAGCCCTGGGCTGGCTGTAGGCTGCTGTCCCTTCTCCTCCCCTCCTCTCCACCCCCGGTATTTTCCTGCAGTTCCTGGTACCTGCCCCTTTGCTCATCACTACTCTTCTGGAAGTCCCTTTTCCTCTTCAGTACCCAGGACTGGCCCCACCACCTCCGGAAAGCCTTCCCTGACACCCTCCAGTGCCCCTGGGCCTCTCTGTGTGCTCCGTGGGCATGTGACGGAGCTGCCTTCCCTGCTGGACTGGGGGCTCCAAGAAGGAGGGTCCATGTCTCATTCTCCAACAGCCAGGCTGGTGCTGGATAGCGCCTGATGCCTGTGCTAAGGTCACTCATATCAGGGACATCTTCCTTGGCTCCTTCGAGCTGGTGAAAGTCGGCCTCTTAATACATTCCCTGAACACTCCTTCTTGTGATAAATAGTTTAAATTATTGAACTATAAAGACCACATTGATGTGAACATAAGTCCAGTTTTATAAACCTGGTCAGCACTTCACTAGACGCTGTGGAACCTAGGTTGACACAGGCAGATTCATGCAGAGCACCTGTGCCAGTCACAGGTTGGAAGGCGCCTTTGAGTTGTCTACCGGGCCTCCCTCCCAGGCGGGCAGTTCTCCCACAGACTCCGTCAGAGGGCAGCCACCAAACAACCAACCGCTAGCTCGTGAGTTATAAGAAATATCGTGCTTGCCCTGATGATCCAAAGGTTATAGATGACATTTTCCTGGTTTCTGATTTCCCAATTTGTGACAACCCTTCGCTATCCTATTTATGGTTTAAAAGTTTGCTAAGTGAACAGGCTCAGGGAGGGGTCTGATGGGGGTCATACAAGTCCCCTGTGTCTTTTGTGAGAATAGGCTTGTAGTGCTTGCCTGTTGATCTGTGGGAATGGAGAGTTTTCCTGGGGCCTTGGAGTGTGCTTGTGTGTGCGTGCATGCATGCCTGTGTGTGAGCATGCACACTGCTCCCCTGCAGCTTGGAAGGAGACTGAAACAGGAATGTTCGTGATTTCTGGAAGTATCTCAGAGCCTGTACAGGTGGATCTGAATCTTGCTGTTGTATTTATGAGCAAGTCACTGCCTGTGTGCCTCAGTTTCTTCATTTCTAAAGTGGGAATAATATCAGTCCCTCCCCCACAAAGTTATGAGGCTGGTGAGTTGATCTATGTCAGAACTCACTAACACAGCCATTACTCCCGCTCTGGCCCATACCCAAAAGAGGTAATAGAGTCTCTTCATATTTAATCTTTTCTTTTATTCTTTATTCTGAAGTATTTCAAACATACACATGGCCCCTCTGACATCACCTACATGCCTCCCACACCCCGTGTAATTCTGAAGCAATACCAGACACCATGTATCTTATCCAGCAATATTTCAATGCATATCTCCAAAATATGAGTGTTATTTTTATAGGCTGCAAAATGAACCTTTAAAAATGAACACCAATTCTTTAATATCACCAAATGTCCACTGAGGGATCAGATTTCCAATTGTCTTATAATTTTTAAAACTGGGGTGATAGTTCCATATAATGTCACCCTCTGCAATGCACAGTATATCCTTTTGGCAAACACATACAGTGCTGTAACTACACCCACAATCAAGATATAGGACAGTCCCCTCACCTCAAAATCCCCTCAGCTGCCCTTTTCTGGTCAACCCCTCCCCTACACCCCCTGGCAACCGCTGAATCTGTTTTCTGTTTCTCTGGTTTTGTCTTTTCCAGATTGTCATGTAAATGGAATAAGACAGTGTTGTCTTTTCCACAGTTTCTTCCTTTAAAGTTTGTTTGAATTGGGATCCAAATAAGGTCTACACAGTGTAACTGGTTTATATGTCTCTGAAGTCTTTTTTTTTTTTTTTTTTTTAAGGCGGGGCAACCCTTGGTTGACTTCAAAGATTGCAAAAACCTTGTCAGTTTGAATTGGGATCTCCAAATAAGGTCCACAGTGTAACTGGTTTATATGTCTCTGAAGTCTTTTTTTTTTTTTTTTTTTTTAAGGCGAGGCAACCCTGGGTTGACTTCACAGATTGCAAAGACCTTGTCAGTTTACAACCCTTTATTTTTTATTTTTTACAACTACAGCACCTGATTTTCCTAAAGTAGTCTCCTATCCAAGTACTAACCATGTCCGATCCTGCTTAGCTTTGGAGATGAGATGGGAGTGGGTTTGTTCAGGGTGGCATGGCCATAGACTTGAAGTCTTTTAACCTATAGGTTTTTCTCCATCTCTCTTTTTCTTGAAATTTGTGGAATATATATACTTTTAAAATTTGGGTGCTGTGGGCACAAGCTCTTTCCTGTACATGAGGGAGAAAGCTAAGCTTTGATAAAAGACAGTTGTGTTTATCTTTCACAGCCTCCCTGCTGCCTGGTTGACACTGGGATCCCTGGCCTCTGCTCTGGACCCCAGCCATACCAGCCAGCGTTCCGCAGGCTTAGTTCTCGGATCTGCTCTGTAGAAAAGGAGAGTCTGACTTTGGAGTTCATCCATCCCCAGATAACTTCTAGTCTCTGAGGTTCAAGACTTTTAAATTTCTATTTTTTGGAAGCATTTCCTAGTGTGTGCAAAATGCTGGTGTGGGTAAGAATACGGGACTGCACCGGAAATTAGTGGGTGTGCCTCTGTATTTGACGTTACAGGTAACTGAATGGAATTTTTTTTTTTCCCCTTTTATGAGAAAAGAAACCTGATCAAACTAGCTTAAACAGTTTTATTTTGAAATAACTTTAGACTTCTAAAAAGTTGCAAAAATAGCACAGAGGTTTCCCACACACTCTTGACCCAGCTTTCTCGAATATTAACAACTTAACTACAGTACAGCGATGAAAATCGGAAGGTTAACGACTTCATCCTAGTAATGGACTCGATAAAAATTCCACCCATTACTCCACTAACATTTTTTTCTGGTCGTGGATCCTACTTGCATTTAGGTGTCGTGTCTCCTTAGTCTTCTTCAATCTGAGACAGTGTACATCTTTCGTGGCCAGGTATTTTGTACGATGTCCTTCTATCTGGGCTTCCCTGACACTTCCTGAGGATTAGGTTGAAGCTATGCATTTGTGGCAGGAACACCACAGAAGCAATGTGTCCTTGTCAGTGCATCTTATCAGGGAGCTTTGCACTGGCAATATGACCTGGATCACTTGCTTGAGGTGGTGTCTGCCATGTTTCTCCACTGTAAACATACTTCCCCCTACCCCCCAAAGGCACAGGATCTAAAAAGTAGTTGATGATGTCTGAGAGCAGGGTGTGTGGCAGGAACCTGGAACCAGGATGAGGCAGCAGCTCTCTCTCATTGTCGTCTTCTCGTCCCACAGGTGCTCTTGTCTCTGTTTGTCTTTGCCCTTCGGCTTCATTTGGAGCAGGGTGTGTGGCAGGAACCAGGAACCGGGACGAGGCAGCAGCTCTCTCATTGTTGTCTTCTCGTCCCACAGGTGCCCTTGTCTCTGTTTGTCTTTGCCCTTCGGCTTCATTTCTCTGCATCTCTGAAGAATTGTCTTTCTCAGCTTCTTCATGCCCGTTACGAAAGATTGCCACTTTCAAATGGTGGCCTCAGACCCAGTTTATATGAAGCTGCCCGAACTTGCAGAATAGAAAGGATCTCTATTCTGAGATCCTTTTCCAAATTCCTAGGAGAGGAAGCATATGATAGACCAGCCTGAGTCAGGCCCAGCCCTGGTTCTAGGGCTCTGATCAGGAGAGTGGTGTCACATCACTGCCGGGACCTTTCTCTAAGTGCGATGGGGCAGTCATGAGACGAGGGAATGACACGGGCTGGCACACATCTTCCCAAAGTGTCTAGTGCATGTACCCCTCCTCCCTCTCACTGTCTCTCCTTTTCTATCTCCCCCCCAGCCCTTCCTTCTTTCTTGATGCAACAGATACATTTCTGAAGACCTTTGTAAGCTAGGTTTTCAAAAGCCATCACTTAGGGAACTTCACTATTCTAAGGCCACATCTGTATATAAAGTGAAGAATCAAATCATCACGGGAACAATCATGCTCTAGATTGTCCAAGATGCATATTTAGCTGTATGTGTGAAATGCCTTGTAGTGGACATACTTGAAGTCGAATTCAGATACCTGTCTAGACCCTCATAACTCAAAAAGTGTGGTCCGGAGAGCAGCGCCATCATGTGGGAGCTGGTTAGAAATGCAGAGCCTCTGGCCCCCATGCCAGACCTGCTGAGAGAGGATCTGCAGCTCACAAACATCCTCAGGGAGTTCGAGTGCACGTTGCAGTTTGGGAAGTGCTGTTCCAGTGCCGTTTTATTTTTGAGGACCAATAGTGCATGTTGGATTCTTTTCTACTTGGGAAAATGAGATTATAAAAGAATCATGACTACGAATACTAAGCGTATAAATAAGTATACTTATGGCTCTTTGTGCATTGTCAGAAGGTCTTAAAGTGAAAATAAGGCCACCTCTATTTTCTCACTTTAATTTTGACTTCCCCTCAATTAATATAGAAATAGTGTTTTCCTGAAGTTACTTTATGTGTACACAAGTGTGCACATGCATGCATACACACACACACACACAATTGTCAGAAGGTCTTGAAGTGAAAATAAGGCCACCTCTATTTTCCCACTTTAATTTTGACTTCCCCTCAATTAATATAGAAATAGTGTTTTCCTGAAGTTACTTTCTGTGTACACAAGTGTGCACATGCATGCATACATACACACGCACACACACACACACACACACATACATTTTAGCTGCCAAAACATACAGGTAACTAACTACTGATCAGAGATCATGGAGAAAAATAGAGCACCATCATTATTAAATAGGAACAAGGAAACTCTTCCCCCCTTAATTATTTCAGTAAAAATAACATCTTCTCTGTTTAGTATGTGTTCTTCTTTTAACTTATTTTTTGGCTATCAGATTTTTGCTAACTCATTGCTGACAGAGGAACACATAAATGAAACAAGAGTTGACACACTGAGTCCAGGTTCTCCCTTCCAAGTCTGGGTCTTAAGGGAGAGGGCACAGTGGGTTTCCTTACAGCTGTGTCTTTGCCCACAGACAGCGACCCTGGAACAAGCTATTAAAGATGCCCAGGAGTGTTATGATGACGAGATTCAGCTCTATAACGAACAGATTGAAACCCTGCGGAAGGAGATTGAAGAGACTGAGAGGAGCCTGGAGAAGTCTTCCTATGATTGCCGGCAGCTGGTAGTCGCCCAGCAAACCCTGAAGAATGAGCTGGACCGGTATCATCGGATCATTGAGAATGAAGGCAACAGGTGTGGTTACAGAGGAGCACGGCTGAGGGAGCGCTACTCTCTCCTTGCTGCCAGAGGCTCATATATTCCACAAATCTTTGTTGAGGGCCTTCCATGTACCAGTTTTAGGCAGTGGGGAGGTGGCAGGGAATGAAACACAAAATCCGTGACCTCATGGAGCTTGAATGATGAATGAATTTGTAACAGAAGGAGTATGACCTATGACAAGTGCTATGTGCTATGGAGGAGATTATGGCAGGGAAGAGGGGAATGACGATGGGGATGTTGGTGGGAATGTTTGAAATTTTGAGTTTGGCAGTCAGAAGAAGTCTCATGGAGAGGCTACTTTTGCTCCACAGGCCTCTGAAGACAAAATCGTCTTAGCAGAGAGGTTGATCAGTAGTATTTAATGAGATGCTGCAGGTGAGGTGCCTTATACAGTACTTGATACTGGAGAAGTCCTCTGCTGCTGCGGCCAGCATGATTTTTATCACTTGGTTGGGTCTATAATGTGACTGTCAATATACTGTCTGGTCTTGTCCGTAATGGAGCTGTGACTTGCACTCTACTCACTTTCAGACAGCCGGGAAATACATCTCTGTCTCTGTCACTGTCTCTATCTCTATCCCCACCTCTACATCATCTACATCTATACCTTTACCTACACCTACATCTACATCATCTATGCTTATACCTACATCTGCCTCTGTATCTACATCATCTACGTGTGAACATTGATGCCTACGTCTACATTATCTACATCACCTACATCTATGTCTATATCATGTACGGCTACATCTGTACCTACATCATTTATATCTAGATGTACACCTACACTTAAACTTACGTCTGCATCATTTACATCTGTATCATCTGTATATCATCTATATCACATCATCTAAGTCAATACCTATACTTATATCTATATCTACATCATCTACATGTACATCTGTACCTACAACTACATTATTTACACCTATATCTATATTATCCATGCCTACACCTACATCATCTACATCTACATCGATATCATCTACACCTATACCTATATCTACATCTACACTTACATCTGTGTCATCTCCATCCACACATAGCCTGTATCTACATTATCTAGATTGACATCTACATCTATACTGACATTATCTGTATCTATACCTACACCTACATCATCTATCTTTATACCTTCATGTATATATACATCTACACATAATCTGTATCAACTGCATCAACAGCTACATCATGTACATGTACATCTATAACTACAGCTGCATTATTTGTATTGGCACCTACATCTAATCGCCTACATCTGTGATGATGTGGATATCCATATCCATATCTATAATTATCATCAGAGAATAGATTGGGGACAGCCACCTCATATATGGGCTATGATTCTCTATTATAAAGTTGTGATTCCTTGATTTATTTTTGCTGACATTTTTAGGTTTAGACTAAATTCAAAGAGAAGCACCCAGAAGTACCCCGTAAGGAGCAGTTCTCTCTTTTTCTCTGGGTACTCTATTTTGGCTGCAAGTACTTGAATGTTTAACAAGAAAACCAAAATTTTGGTTTTTTTCCTCCTCTAGTTATAGTCAATGTATCATGCATAATTCCAAATTATATTTATGTCACAGTGAATGCTTTATGCACACGTTTGCAAAAATAAATCTTGAACTGGCATTTAAATGTCCTTGTGCAAATTTTTGTTTTGAAGGCAGGGCTTCACAAAAAGGTAACCGGATACCTCTTTTGTTGATTTGTTTATAACTTCTAATTTTAATATACTAATTTTGATAGAAATGTTGCAAGCATAGAACAAAGAACTCATGAATGCTCTTTACTCAGATTCACTAGTTTACATTTTGTTTAAATTGCTTTATCTTTTTTCTCTCTATAAAACAAGTTGGAGCTATTGTACTCTGGTTGCCCTCAGTATGTCAGCCTGGGCTGGCCACTCTTTTATTAAAAACAAAAACAAAAAGAAAAACACACTGTTCAACAGAGAAGTGGCATTTTGACGTTATAAACAATCCCCACGTCCCAATGTTTCTATGAGTTTCACAGTTTATGGCTTGATCTCAAAGAAATGATTATTTCCTTTATAACCTCATTTAGTGTGTAAATATGTATGTGGTTCATGAGAAGTTTAATCTAGAGAAAGCTTTTTTCATTTTTGCTCGTAATTAGAGGATCACTGTTACCCCCTGACCATCTGTTTGGCTTGATGCACTAACGATGGTGACCACCTCTTTCTGGTCCTTTCTGCCAGGCTGAGCTCTGCTTTCATTGAAACGCCTGTCACTCTCTTCACTCCAGGCCATGGAGCCTCTCTCAGCCCTCTGCCCAGCAGGAAAGGTAATGCTTCCCATCCCCAGCTTCTGCTGTTTTCTGTCTTTGAAAAAATGGGGGAAAAAAAGTGGCTTTCTTCATGAACTTAATATTCATGCTCCCTTCCAATCCATCTGGAAATTAAATGCTTTCAGGTGCGGTTTCCTTCTCTGCCTCGCTGATGTCTGCCCAAAAAGTTCACAAGGGGAGAAATCAGGTGGGGGCGGGGGGAGTCGGGCAGACCACCTTGGGAATGCCATCACCAAATAAGTAACATATTGAAGTGAATATTGAATTGTATCCCCCTACCCCCCCACCCCCAAAATTAAATGGACTATACAAAAGTGCTTAATCCAGTGTCTGGAGCAGAGTAAATATTCAATTACTGTTCCTTTTCTCTTCTATTCTCAACTGAGCAGAAGTAGCTTGGTTGGCAAATGTGGCTTCTGCCTTCCACATATGGTCCTTTTGGGTTGGTTTCAAGCGCCTGTGAGATGCCACCTCATGGCTAAATCTCCCTAATTCTGAACAAATGGTGTTCTGAGAGAAGAGAAGGTCATAATGTTGGTGGCCCATATTTAGAGTGCCTTCAAATCTATGTGTCTCAGAAAGCTCAGAGGGGTTCGTGGAAATGGGGTTCCAGAGTTAGAACGCTGTTGGAAGGGGCAGCAGTCCCCAGTCCCCAGACACCCAAGGCTGCTAGCTCTAGAGACATGTGACCTGTGCACAGGGCACTGTCCTTGCAAGGGCTTAATGCTCTGCAACCAGTGTCTTGAAATTCCTAATCATTTTGAACATGGGCCCTGCCTTTTTTTTGCACTCAGCCCTGAAATTCTGTAGCTGGTCCTGTAAGCATCCTTTCCTCCCATATCTGCTCCCAGCTGGCTTCTTTTGATGGGTCCCACTCTGCACCCCCTCCTCCCTTACGACTTCATAGCCCCTTTCTGCCATTTCCTGATTACTCTGCTCTCTCATTATGAATCACAAAGATGTCCTTGCTTTGTCTGTCTTAGTCCTCTGGCTAACAGAGAAAGGGGATGAAGAAGACTTTTGGGATGAGAAAGTTAAAAAAAAAATCACCATGTGAGTGAAGTAGAAAATCCTCATGGATGAGGCAGGGTTAGATTTTGTATGTTTCTTAAACCTTTAGTTTTTCCTTTTAGCTAGTCTGAAGAAATAAATATGGCCTAGGAAATGGGATTCCTGTTAGTTCTGTCATAATAGCATCGCTTTCCATTTTTACCCAGGAGGAAAGGGATGCTGTGCAAAGGTTAGTCATATTTATTTAGCTTGGGACACATGTGAAAGGAGCAGCCATATGAATTGATATGATTCCCATGCCTAAGGCCATTCTGAACATGTCAGAGGCCCAGGCATCTCTGCCTTCTCTCCTTTGGGGAAGTCCAAGTCAGGAATGACTTTGTGGAATGAGTTTCCATCATTTTGTCTATGGACCCAAGTAGCCAGCACAAGCTCATCAGGGAGTTGGGCTGAGACAAGGGCTGCTGCTCCCACTGAGTATTATTGTAGTAGAATCACATGTCTCAGTAAATTGTACTCAATGGGATGGAAACTGTGAGTGTCAGATTAAGCAGTGTTTTCCCTCCCCTTTGCAAGCCCAGAGGGGTCAAGTGACTCATCCAAAGTTGCACAATTGGTGACAGAGCTGGGACCTCAAAACACAGGCCGTGGATGCTACAGATCCAGGCCTTATTCCCTGTTGTTTTGCCCCATTATTACTAAACCCACCCCAGTGCTAGGCATTGGTCTCCAAGACAGTTAGCATAGTTTTCAGTGAATACATTTTCTTCCTCTTTCATTGACAATTATGTTTGACTTATTGTCCATTTATCTATTTTATTAAGATCTAGCCAGAGCTGTTCAGGATATTACAACAGCAAAACCAAGACAAAAAGGCCTCCCCAAGAACATTCCAAGGAAAAAGGAGATTATAGCTAAAGATAAAGCAGATGAAAGTCTGGAAGACACACCACTGAAAGGTCCAGAAGACACAAAGCCAGTGCAGGTGGTAGTTAAAGAAGGAGGTGAACCTAAGCTTGAATCAGAGGGTGAAGAAGCAAGTCCTCCCACCCTAGAAAGGGCTCCGGAGGACGTGCCAGATGGAGGGAAGATAAGCAAAGCCTTTGGGAAACTCTGCAAAATGGTCAAGGAGAAAGTGAGAAGCCCTAAGGAGCCTGAGCCCCCAGCCGACCTCTACACCAAAGGCCGGTATGTGCTGGTCTCCGGGGATGCTAGTTACGTGGACCCTGGGTTCTGTTCCTCATCTATCCCAGCCAGGGGTGGAGTGGTTGTTGCCATTGAGGACGACTCTCCGCATCGTGACAGTCCTGTTGAGCCCTCTCCTGAGCAGCCTGAGCCCCCTCTGGAGAATGGACAGGAGGGTCCACAAGGGAGAGAAGATGGACACTCACCCAACCAGCATACTGCGGACAAGGAGAATGAGATAGACACTGAAGAACTGAAAGGTCCTAGGGAGAAGCATGATGGCCAGAAGAAGGATGAAGGGCCCAGGAAGCCCTGTCTCGTGGTCGTACCTGGTCCAGAGGGACCATCTGCACCCCTACCCCCAAAGCCTGCAGCCAGTCAGGGTGGATCTGAGGGGCAGGGGTCTAGGAGCAGCAACCTGCAAGAGAGAAGCCCTCCCAGGACTTTGGCATATGAGAAAGTGGAAGTGATGGAATCCATTGAGAAGTTTTCAACTGAAAGCATTCAGACATATGAAGAAACTGCCGTAATTGTGGAGACCATGATTGGAAAGACGAAGACAAACAAGAAGAAACTGGGAGAGAATGGCTCTGAAAATGCCTAGGCTCCATGGGAGAAATGTCTCTGGGCCACTGTAGGGGAAGTGCTTTTGATGTAGAAAAAATGATAAAAGAGTGAGAGTTCCTGTTTGGGTTAGACTATAATTGGCCCACCTGGCATTGCCAATGAAGCCTTAATTAAAAAGTTTTCTTTGCTTGCACATCGTTTGTCTAATTAACAGGTCCTTGGGAATGTAGGTGGATCAGCCACACTCAAGACAGGACGTTATGTTAAATGGCCACCAAACTGTTCTTGTTTAGGAAAGAGACAAGCCCTTCATCATGGTTATTGGGAGACTCACTAGAGACTCACAGGATATCTGGATTTCACATACACAAAAATGATAGTTGATGGTATTGGCTCATGCTCAATGCATTTCAAGCACAAGCATATGCTCACATGGAGTAGTGTTTTGTTAGAAGTAAAATGATTAAAGCGATCTGTCCTAACTCCCCTAGAAGCTTATCCTGACATGAGGATTTAAATGTAGTTTCTAAGGGGTTTGATCTCAGGAAGCACCAGTAGGGCAGTGAAGAGGAAGACAGGGACGGCAGGGCAGCCAGTAAGAGATATGTTACCAGGTCTGTTAGCACTGTGGGCGGCTGGAGCCCAGTCCCCCACGGGACTCTGGGAGACAAAATAGAACATATGCCACAGAGTTATTCTTCTTGACGTGAGGGAGAGGGTATTCATCTATCAATTCCTGTCAGGCAGTGGCGAGGGCTGCTCCCAGGGTGCTAACTTTGGGTACAGAGAAAGTGTCCAAGTGAAGTATAGGTGCTGGCATTTGGACATCAGGCATGGAAATGCATAGAAATGGTAAGGGTCATGGGGATATAAGTGGGGGTACCAATGCCATCTGCCATAGCATATGCACCAAATGTCTTTTTGTTTGAGTCACTTCGAATTTTCACAGTCAGATTGCAAACCTAGGTCACGTTTCAAAAAGCAAAAGCAAATGTCACTGCATAGTTTCTTGTTCAGGAGTTAATTAGTCTAATAAGCATTTATTGAGCATATACTATGTGTCAGTATACTATGCTGATAAGGGGAGGATTTGTAGGCTTATTAATTGCCATAATATAGTTTGCTGTAGTATATGTGTGTGTGCGTGCTGTCTTGTACACACAAATGCACATGTGCACAAAGGTGCTTACTGTGTTGCATCTTAGGAAATAGACGTTATTTCAAACCAGAATCTTCACAGAAATTTTTATTTTGCTTCTAGGCGTCTATTTTTCTCAGTCTAAAAATATTTTTTTACTTATAATAATTAAGAAAGTACTCCTTTCCCATTGTAGATGGGAGTACATTAAGGGCACTGAGTAAATATGCTTAAATGGATTATTATGTCTGCCTAAACAAAAGTATCTGGCAAGACAGCTACATATTATTAGAGAAAATTGACTAAGTCATAAATTCTCTTATTTCTCTGTTATAGATAATAGAATACTAAATGGAGTCACTTTCCCTTTATTTAGAGCTTTGAAACTTGTTCTGAATTCATTTGAGGTTTTGATTTCAAGGAAGAAATATGCTTTTGTTATTCTTTCTAAAAGATGAATGGAAGACCCACTCCATTGCACAGTTTTGAAATATTTATAATTTAAAAGCTTAAGAGAAAATTATGGAAACCATTAGCTGTATCACAATGTACTAGGAATTTGGCCAATGTATATATCGTATTTAACATAACAGCCACTGCAAACCTTTTTGTTTCCCCCCTGAAGTCTTTTTATTTTTTGGACTATGTGTTCAGTTAATATTCTTATTTAAAAAGGCAGGGGTATCCTTTTGGAAAGAAAGGTCATTTCTATATTCACTCAATCATCAGAAATGGATTGGGGCCCTGTTCTGTGCCAGGCATGGTTCTGAGCCCTGGGGAGATGGTGGAGAGCAATCAGACCTGGTTCTGCTCTCACAGACATTACGTATTCTGGAGGGAGGAAATGTATAAGGAAACATAACTGAAAAAAAAAAAGAGACAATACTAAGGAAATCAACAGGGTGACATGTAAGAGTGACTGGGGGTCTACTTTGGGTTGGGCGGTCAGGTGAAGACTGTGGATGAGGTGACATGTGATCTGAATGACAAGATGGGCCAGTCATGTGCAGATCAGAGGGAAGAGCATTTCTGGCAGAGGAACTGCAAGTACAATGGCCTTGGGGGACAGGAATGGACTTAGCCTGTTCAAGGAGGAGAAACAGAGGGGACTTGGGGGGATAATGGAAGGAGGTGAGGTCAAGGAGGGAGAGAGGGACCAGGTAAGCACCATTTCCGAGCAGGCTCAATTCGACCTGAAAGCCAGGCTCCCAGGGTAAAATGTGGGGCTGCCTGTGGTTAGCATCTTGGAGTCTAGTTGGGCTCCACTTGCTCATTTTCTTGGCTGCTACTCTCCAATTTCCCTGCTTGGTTATATTTTCCCCAGCAGAGTTGCAGAACAGGTTCATTTCCTGGCTTTTCTTTACCCTGAGGTCTCTGAAAGTAAGCATTTAGTTTTATAAAAAGTATTTCTTGTTAGGAAACATGGGGGCTCAGAGCAGGCCTCCCAGTGGCATTGATGATGAGAGTGTCAGAACTTAGACCAGCCCTGAGACACTTGAAGGCAAGTGCTGTGGGTGGCTTGTCCTAACTGTTACACTAGAGGGCCCCCAGCCTCCTCCTTCCAACTCAGCTTCAAGTTCGGCACTGAGCCTCTCCAGAAGCTGCCTCCCCCACAGAGAAGCTGTGTCCAACCTCCCCACTCCTCCATTCTCCAGGCACTTGAGTAGGTGGCCAATGACTGCTGTTGTATGAGCCGCCTTGGTTGCTGACCCCTTAGATCCCCGACCCTCGCTGTTCTGGCTCAGGCTTCTCATACCAAGCACATGTGACTTTCTGCCTTAGGTGTACCTATGGCCTTAGGAACATGACACCCTCGCTGTTCTGGCTCAGGCCTACACACCCAGGCTTCTCATACCAAGCACATGTGACTCTCTGCCTTAGGTGTACCTATGGCCTTAGGAACATGATTGGTCTGCAAATTGGGCAAGTGGGGGAGTGCTGGGGCATTCATGAGGGGAGCAGCCCTCAACCAGGGTGGACAGGACTTGGTGCGTAAATACCCCAGCTCTCTCACCTGTCTGTTGGGATACGGCATGTTCTGCAGTCCTCTGTGGGCCTGAGCCCCAGATACCCACGAAGAAACCGACTCATCAGTGTGTCCTGAATTGGTTCCCTTCCTTTCCTATTCCACTATATAAAGATGCTTCCTTTCAAATAAATGCGTCCTGAATTGGTTCCCTTCCTTTCCTATCTCACTTTCCTGTTCCACTATATAAAGATGCTTCCTTTCAAATAAATGACCTCAACTCCTTGACTCGGAGTCCGCTTCTGGGAGGACCCAACTTACGACAGCTGGTTGGCACCTTCCCAGCACAGACTCCCATTCTTCAGGTGTCAGCTCTGATATTGTGTTGAGGAGTTGCTCCTCCCACACGGGTATAGTCCTGATCAGACTGTCAAGACATCTCGCCTTTCTCTAGCTGCGGGGTGGGCAAGTATCCCAGATGAGACCTGTCGTTGGAATTGGAAATCTGAGTCCAGGGAAACCAGGACAGAAAGTGGTGGAGCTGGCTCCTTGAGGGAGTAGTTCTGACGTGGTCACCACTGGTTCCTGCTATGTATCCCCACCCCTAGGCTTGCTCCAGTCTCCGTCCTTTTTCTAGGTGGGTTTAGGCTGGTTCTTCAGGCGTTCCTTCAGTTCTGAGAGCTACCCCACGTGCTTTGAACGTGCTGCTTGTTTGTTTTCATTAGTTGGCGTTGCGTTCTGTTGCTTTCGACCCTAGAGATCCCAAAGGTAACTGCTAATGAATGAGGTTCAGTATCAATGGAGAATTTATGGAGATTTTAATTAAGTTAGGTCGCCCCAAAACAGACCCTAAACAAAATGGAGAGTTTTATTAGAGCAGTGATCACAGCAACTCAGGGTGCCCTTAGTAAGCGCCTACCTCTTAGCTCCAAGCCCACCTTTCCGGTGCAGGAGTTGGAACCTGCCACCTTGTTGCTGCTTGGCCAGGGTCTCCCTGGTAGGCGGAGAATAAAAGGTGGAAGGAGGGGGAAGGGACCTGCTCCTTCTTGTCTGTCTTCATCTCCCCAGCAGCGCTTCTTCACCCTGGCCGGAGCAGTGCTTCCTGTAGCAGCAGCCGGATCCAGTTTTCAGTTTTTCCAACATTTGCAGAAGCAGCCTCATGACATTCTCCTCAGAGACGACTGTACCAGCCAGTCGATGCCCCTCTGCAGATGTCTGGGTTTTCGGGTGCCCACCACATGCACTCACACTCCACCCCCGGGGATGGAGGGCGATTGGAGCAGGGGATTCTCCCTCACTGGAACCCCACCGTGGTCCCAGTGAGCCCCTGACTTGGGCACATGTTAGACTGCTTGGTCTGTGTGATACTTTAAGGTTCTCTTTTACCTTTCTAATTAAGTAGGAAATACTTCTTTATACTACTCAGTTCAAGATGCTTTATATTTAATTCTCTCTGTTAACATTACTGGTAGGATTTCTGTCTCCTGACTGGTGAAAGAGGGGCCATGAGACGGAGAGAGGAAGCACCAACACAGGCAGCATTAACCTGCCACCACCGCTGTGGGCAACTGGGGCTCCATCCCACTGGGAATCCCCAAAGAGACCAGGTAGAACATCCTCAGATTGTCCCAACAGGAGGCTAGGAAGCTCGGATCTCCAGCAGGAGGCTAGGAAGCTCAGATCTCCCTGCACAAACTCTCATCCTTCCTAAGGTGGGGGTGGCCCTGGGGCACTGATCCCCTGGCACTTTTCCAGTTGCACACCAGGTCTGGTGCATCTCTGCAGCCAGAGAATACCCGCTGGCAGAGAGACATAGCACACTTGGCATGTATGAAACTCTACGAGCGACTTCAGGTGTGGGCCAAGGAGATAGCTATAGAGCAGAAGTTGGCAGATATTTTCTATAAAAGGCCAGATTACAGGCTGTACAGCCTCTGTTATAACTACTCAACTCTGCCGTTGTAGCATGGAAACAGCCGCAGACAATACAAAAACAAATAAGCATGCTTATTTCCAAAAAAACAATATACAAAAACAGACAGTGTGCTGGATTGGGTCTCTGGGCTCTGTAGTTTGCTGATCCCTGATGCAGGGCATGCACCAACAGGATCTAATACCAAATTCAATTTACATAACAGAAGACATTTCTATCCTGGCATCTTTACTTGTTTCTTCCTTTCTCTTTCACATTGGAAAATTCCATTGAAATCTCTCTTCGACTTGAAGCTTATAAGAAAAGATCTTTAAGCCACCATTATAATCAAGTTTATCCTAAAATTTTTGTATCATAGGTTTGTAGTTGGGATGTTGCTGGTGAATGAAGTCAGCTCAAAACTCATATAGCATTTGTCATGTTAATGATGAAGAACACCATTTGGTACCTTGATTAGAACAAATGCTTGATGCCAATTTCTCATGCTTGGGTAAAAGCAAATAAACGCCACAAAAAAGCCACATTGACTTATGTTTCATTCAAAGAAACAGGGGTTTTGAGTTGAGATATATCTCCACCTGGAGATATACCCTTGGTCAATAACTTCACTGTGCTGGTGCCTTCACCAGGTACACCTGCCCCTTTACCTGCATGCGTGTGTCCTTATGACCAGGTGCTTACCAGGTAGCTTATCTGTCATCTGTGGCTGGTCAGTGGCTCCAGCACATGGGGCCAAAAGAGAAAAGGACAGGTTTTAGCCTCTTCCTTCTGTCCAGCTTGGAGTAGCCCATGGAGTCTCCTCTTGGGTGCAAAGGAACATCTTTGAGGGTGCTATGAGGCAGAACACCCCATGTGGGGATGGTGAGGGTGGGTTGGCCTGAAGCCTCCATGGTAGAAATCCATGACAGTTCACATTAGACCTAAGGAATTCCCAGCCTCATATAGATGTTCTGGCATTTAAAACTCTGTGGGTGAGACTGTTAATTACCTCCATCTCACTCCAAACCATGTAGTACTGAACATTAGGAATTTAGCACAACATAGTCTTCATCTTTTTGGGCTGAGTGCATTTCTTGTGGTCAGTTTATTCTGTCTCCAGCTTCACAAACAGTCTCTTCTAAGTTCTAAGAGAAAAAGAAGCTGGCAGGTTGGCTAGGAGAATTTCCCTCAGGTCAGACTTTAATACCTGGTCTCTTATGAATCCAAAACCAAATTCAACCAGAGTTTTTTGAACCCAAGGGAAGGGACTCTTGGTAACTAAACAAACGTACAAGAGACTAGTGGAAGAACACAAGTGCTAGCTGAGTAATTTGCAATGCAAAGAGGGGAACTATCTTTTCTAGAGATCCCAGTGCTGGTTCCCCCATCTCCTGATGTTAATGTCCTTGTGAGGCTGGATGAAAGATCAGGAGGCTGTGGCTGGGCATGGAATCAGACCAGTGGGCTTTGTTTTCAACATGCTTCAGCTCTTCAGATACCAGAAGTACCCTATACACCAGCCACTGTGTTTCCCTATACTGAACATTGCCAGATACTCTCTGCCAACTTTTGTCTCTAACTTCCTATTTTCCTAAGTGCCCATGAGCTGAGTGGTGGCCCTCATCTCCACCTGGTCTGTTGACTTGTTCATTCTTTGCAGACAGAGAACCACCCAGATGGCCACAACCAAATCACTTTCATTGGCTCAGGACACATTCTGTGCTGATGTTATTTCAAACTCCCAGAGTTTTTAGAACCTCTTATTCTCTCCTGCAACCACTGTCTCTAATCTTGGCATTTTGATTTTTAGAAATTTCTATCAGATTAGACTCTTTGCATCTAAGAACTTACTCTGGCTGTGGGAGTACCAGTTCCCCTAATTCAGCATTTCTCTCTCTAAATATAAAATACTTAGCTATGTTTCCTAAAAGATTTGTAGTGTGTGGTTTTCATGTGATCACTCCAACCAATGAAGGCATTGATCACATGAAAACCACTCATTAATTTATAAATGATAGTAACAATGACATATGGTAGTAACTCTATAAGAATTATCAGTTTTTAACTTATTCTTTTGGAAATCAATCTTTGAACTTAGTATTGAAAAGCAGTGTCACAAGGTCAGACTTTGGATCATACCTTTTCGATATCTGTTTTTAGCCACCTTGTATTATGATTACAAACCATAAGATTGAAGGTTGAAGCAGCCTGGATTTCTGAGTCACTGCATTGAGATCTGTGACCTTTGGCAGCACCTGAAACTTCAGTGAGATTTATGTGAATAAAAAATAAACCTTTGTTGTGTTAATCCACTGAGATTTTGAGGCTATTCGTTATTACAGTATAACTTAGTCTGCTCTGATGAATATATTCTACAATAATGTTTCTAAAAGATTTTGACCATAACCCATAATAAAAAATGTATTTTACATTGTGAGCCAATACACGCACATACACATTCCTGAAAAAAATATTTCAGGAAACAATATTTATCATTAATATGCATGATCCATTCCATTCCATTCTATTCTATTCTGTAATGGTGGTTCTTGCCTCTCTAAATTTATTTTATAATCCACCACTGAGGTGCAACCTGAATTTGAAAAATGCTGCTGTAGGTCATAATTTGTGTATGATTTATTTGTTAATTATAAACTTTCATGCATATTTATGAAAGCAGGCTTTTTAGATCTCTTTTTGGTAACTTTTTATTATTTGCTCCTAGAATGGATGGAAGTGTTTTTATGTAATACATACCACACCCTACATAATTTTTGAAAGGTAGTGTTTTATTATTGAGTCTCCTAATTTACAACATGTCTTTTTAAACTTATTTATAAAATTTTGTCATAGGGAGTAATAATGTTAACCTGATTAACCATTATTTATTTATTTTCATCTTTTAAAATAAATGACTATAAATAACTCCCTTGCCTTAGGATCAGAGATATCACAAAAACCTCACCAGCTAGACATATTTTAGTGTTAATACTAGTGCAAAAAATGAAATAGAGACCGAATAGTTTTATATAGCACTATATATATTTATATACTGTATACTTATATCAAAACTCGCCATTTCTATTAAGAAGCTGATAAGTTACACTCTAATTTCATAAATTATACCATGATTGTGAAAATATGGACAACTGTTTTATATTTTTGCTGCTATATAAGACATTTAATGTTTATACAGAGAGCTGTAAAATTACAGAAGTGATGCAGTGGGAACCAATGAACGTTTTCACCTGAATTTCCACTGGCCTTTTTTTTCAGCCAGAGTCAACTTGATAGTTCTGAATATTCTTTTAGAGATGAATATGATGTCTGTTTCTTCAATAAATACACATACACACATTTTAGGTATATGTGTGTATATACATTTATACAAGTGTATATATATACACATATATACACACATGTATATAGTCTACATATGTATATATATTTCTGTGTGCACTTATACACACATGCACACATAATGTCCTTTGGTTTATTTTCATACTGTTAATGTGAGATGAATTTTTGATGATTTCCATTTATTTTTTTTTCTTTATATCTAAACTGGTTTAAAAAGACCTTCGCAACAAGTAATAAATTTCTTTTAAAAATTATGATTATTATTACATTTTAAAGCATTATATAGAGAAGGGCATATGGTGTTAGAGAAGACAGAAATTTATGCCAACATGGGAGAAAAAGAAAGAAAATGGGTTTTCTAGACTTCTCTCTTAGAGTTGCCACCTTCGGGGAATGAAACCTAGTGCTCTAGCATTGCTGGCTTAGAGAAAGAAACTTCAGGCTTAGCCATGTGCTTCAGGGGAAGAGACAAAGTGTGGATAGAAGTGGTTGATCAGTTCTTGAGATACAAGTCAAACAAACAAATCTTCTCTTGGGACTGGGTGGGCATTGGGACTGGAGATGAGAAGCCAATCCTCGAGTAGGAAAACAAAGTGAGAGCAAGTCAGAAAGCATTTCTATTTGGTAGTGAAATGGTGTGGTGTCTTTTGGGGTAGACAGGGAAAAGGAATGCATCACTCTGGGTTGTATGTTAAACTTCCTCATGGGTTGCTTAGTTGCCAAGTTGGTAACTGTGTGCTTTCCCTATTGAGAGCTTCTCTTGCTTCCTTCAAGCCTCAAGTTACTGAGGAATGAGTTGGCGTTCCCTACTTTGATAGAAAAGGCTCCATACAAATGGAGGTCCATGTGAAGGTGGCTGCTCACATCTTCAGACACACTCCCTTTCCCCTTCACATGCTTCTGCCAGAATAGAGGCCATTTCTCTAACACATCAATGAAATCACAACATACAAGAGTAAGATATTGCCCTCCAATCGTATGTTTTGGAAATCAGAGCCCAAGTTTATATTAGGATAGCTGTCAAAAACACTCACCTTGCCTTCTTGCTTACATTAGGTTAAGAAATCTCAAAGTGATTTAGAAAAAGGAACATTCCTGGGTTAAAAACTACTATGACATGTTGCCAGACCTGCCCTTGCACCTTTCCCTCTTGGACAGCTATGTGAGAAACCCCAGAAAATTGGGGCTGAGATGAACTCTATGCAAACCTAGAGTAATTTGGGCTTCTGTAGCAGATTTTACCATGACTCAGAGCAGCAGCTGGTGAAAAGACAGCCAAGCGACTTGAGTTTTATATTTGTCACACTGGCTGGGTAGGATGAGTTATGATGTTGGTATTGGTGGTAAGATTTCCAATTCTCATGATTTTTGAGTCCTTCTTCCCTCTCCAATAATTAGGGCTCTCCTGGATGGCATCTTTTGAATCATGCTACCTTCATTTATGCCACTGAAAAATCTTTCTAGGTTCAAAACATCTTTCCCCAAAGCATTTACAGCATCTCTGTGCTTTAAGAGATTCAGAGCTCACCCTTGGTCATAATCTTTGATTTTCTTTTTATGTAACAGGTCCTCAGTTGAGACCATGAATAAACGTTCTTGGAGTCACTGTGTGTCACTTTTAAAATACATTCTCTTCTCTTCTCAGATATGAAAAAATTTGAGGGGAAAATTGCCCCAGTTTTGTTTGCAGTATATCACTTATTTGAATGACACAAATAAAGAACTTAAGAGTCACAAATAGAACATAGGTATTGGTGGGAACACTGTATTTGGGGCATGAAATAAAAAAGATTGCTTCCATTGTAATGAAAATAATCATTGACAGTGAGTGAAGCTTCAGATCAAGAAGTTGGAATTGCTTGTGTAGGGGTGACAGTAATTGCTAGGTGCCTGACAGTGTGGAGTGAAGACAGAGAGTCAGAGACAGGGGAGGGAGGGAGGTGATGGAGGCCATGGTGCAACTCTAGTTCTTGTGCAGGATGCTTTTCAGGCTTCTCTCCACAGCTTCATCCAGCTCTTCCTCCAGCTCCTCCTTCTTGGACATGGCCAGCTTGGACTGGTAATCCCTCACGACCTGGTCAATGTAAGGGGCACTCTGTGTGCCATGCAGCATCAGTGTCCACTCTTTCAGCACTCCCTTCTGGGGGGCGCTCCCCACAAACCCCAGCTCCAGGGTCCAGGTTCCTCGAGCATCTTCTCCCCAAGTGTGGGTGGTCATGAAAGGCCACTTGTCAAAGCCCACCTTGGAATCATCATCCCTTGGACGCCGACTCAGCAAAATGGACTTGGTGCCCATAGGGGAAGTCATGTTGATGTTCAGGTCTCCTCTCCTGGTTGCATTGACTGTGATAACAGCTTGGACGTGCTCGAGGTAGCGGACAAAATTTTCCTTCCCCTCGCATGCATCTGTTGTGAGGGTCAGCACCAACTTGCCAGTGGATGGTATTTTCCTGAGGACAAAATGATAAGGAGAGATGGCAAGGAACAGGCATATTATATGAGGAGTTTTGAAGACAGTTTCAGGTTATAGAAAGAGCCAGAGCTCTGCAGTTGATCAGACAGACCTGGGTTAATTCCTACACCAGCTGTGTGAGCCCGAGCAAGTTACCTATACCCTTTGAACATTCTGTGTAGAAGGGGAATGTAGCAGATGCTGTTGACATCCCTCCCACTTCTCCTAAGTCACCTCTGAGTTCACCTGTAGCTGCAGCATCCGTGTACCTTGCCTGCTTCCCATCTCAGGCATCAGCATCTCCCAGTTTCTCTCCTGGAGCCTTTCCCTGCACCGTGGGAGTTGGTTTAGCCTTTGTGCAGGGTAGCCTAAAACTGTCAGGGACTTAACTGCTCAGGGACAATTCTCTACCAATGACTACTAGAAGGTGGTGGATAAATATACCCTAGCTTCCCAGTTCCTCAGGTGGGACAACTCTGTCCCCATTGGGATTGAGCCTAGTTGCCCACAGTGGCAACTTGCTCATCAATGTACTCTTTATCGGCCATTTTCCTCTTCCGTGTCTTAAATTTATTCTTCCTCACTTGTGTTTCCTGGGATCATCTCTCAAAAAATTGTCAGCACCCAAGTCTCATTTCAGGGTCTACTTTTGGGGCAACCCAGATTGAGACAGGAGCTCACAATGCCTTTTTTTAAAAGTGTTAAGTACTTTGATAATGAAAAGTCATTGCCGATGTGATTATTATTGCTATCATTAAAAAAGCTGAATTTGGGTTAATTAATCCTAGTGAAGGGTAGCCCTTTGAAAGTTCAGGGAAATTGGGAAGACTCTTTGATCATAGAGTTGGAGCCCCATGGAGGGTCAGTCTAAGCATTTCAGCTGTCTTTCCATATATCAAATCTCCTATCTGGAGCTAGTCTCCTTTGAAAGTGAGATATTCAAAGGATCTTACATCAGAAACATAATAAAGGAAACTACATTTGAGAATTGTATGGTATAATGGAAAGACTCTAGACTTTGGGAACAAAATTATTTTGGTTAGAATTCTGTTTCTACACTTAATGGTTAGGAGAGCTTGGGCAAATTATTTAAATACTTGAAGTCTCACTGTCATTTTGGATGGGTTTTGTGAGGTTAAATAAGACCACGTATGAAAACACTGAGCATGGTGCCTGGCACAGAGTGTTAGTTCCCCTTCCCCTGCCTTTGCCTATCTTAACATCCTCCCTTACCATGGCTTTTCCTTTGGAGCATAAAATGGTGGATATTTTAAAATACACATCTTATAGGGCACACCTACAAAAAAATGCTGGTCAAACACCCAGCTCAGAGCCAAGCCTTGGTTCTGCAGTGCCCTTGGAGCCAAGGCCATGAACCTGGGAGGGCTCTCAGAAGCATCCTTGGCCATGGAGCTCCAGTGATGATAGTAGAGGTGGGGTCCTAAGCACCAGGCTTTCAAGAGTGCAGAACAGGCATTAGGCCAGCTTTGGAGGTTAGAGTATGGATAATCACCACCTTGATCTCTCAAAGAAGATGCTATTTACTCAGTACCTGTTGTTTCAGACATATAACAGGTGAGCTGATAAATGACTAACAATAATTTGGGTTCCAGCTGCAGGCAGAAAGCTATGCAGAGTGGACTAAAAGTCCAGTTGTGGGCAAGGCATTTGAACTGTCTGAGCTCATTTTCCTTACCTGTACAATGGGAGATATTACTTCCTACCTGGAAGAATTGCCGTGAAGATAAGATATAAACACACAGTCATATCCATCATATATTGCAAATGCCAGCCTTGGCCAGTAGAACTTTCTGCAATAATGGAAATGTTCTATATCCGTCCTGTCCAATATAGTAGCCACTGACCACATGTGACTATCAAGTGCTTGAAATGTGTCTAGTGTAAGAAACTTAACACTAGTAAAATTTTAATTAATTAAATTTAATTTTAGTTGTTAAACTTATTTAATTTTATTAAATAGCCACATGTGGCTACTTGCTTCTGTATGGAATAACACTGATGTAAATTGTGTATATTCAATTTAAACTTGATAACAACAGCACCATCACCTAGGGAATCTCTCGGGCTTCTATTTTAAGCACATTTGGTTTTCGCTATGGTCCACAGGCTCTAGGAAAAGCAGTTGGGGAAACTGTGGATTCTGTTATGCAGATTTTCTGGCCACCTTGATGAATGGAAGCTTCTGGAATGACTTGAACTGCAGGTGTGAGCGACATGCCACATTCTTCCACCAGGTTTCTACAGGGGCAAGCAGGCAGGTCCAAGGTGGAAGATTTCTTCCTAGAATGGAACCTCAGGGGCTCTGGAACTCTCTGAGAAGCACAACTGGAGTAGAAAGGGTGAGGGTGGAGCCCACAGCAGGAAGAGAGACCCCGGCTCTGAGTCCGAGTCGAGTTTGAGCCCCTTCCCTATTTTGTAGGCCACCTTGAAAAATTCAGGAAGGAAATTCATAAGCTAACAAACAGAGACTGTTACATAAGTAATAGCAATTATAGGTATTAAAAAGCTTCACTAATCAGTGTCAAATGCCACAGACACCAATATTACGAGGATTCAAAACACAAGCTGGATTCTAAAAAAGTTTATTTTTTGTCCCTGTTTGCACTTATGGACCAGAGTTCACATAGTGATTGTCCCTTTACGAGAAAACTCTGGAGGAAAAGTGATATTACTTTCCTGGGAGAAAACTGAAAATAGTTCTTTGTTGGCCAAGAATCAGAGATAGGATGGCCACTTTGGCTGAAAATCAGATCCATAGCCCACCATGCAATGGGGTTTCTGTAAGTGAAGAACAAGGTTTCCTGTACAAGAGGCTGAGATGATCTTTTATGATTGCAGGAGAGAAATAGGGATTGGATCAAGCCTGAGACAATCTTTAGGTACACCCTGGCTCAGGGAGTTTCACTAGATGACAGTGCCTCAGCCAGATACCCTCCACAGCTGCTTTGAGCTTTGGCTGCTAATGGCTCTCTGCTGTCCCTTTCTCTGCAGAATCTCCCTCAGGTGATGAGAGTGGCCTTGCCTGACATGTCACATACTTGGTTGATGCCTGGCAGATATGGGAATATATAAGGTCAGTGCCCTGGCATCAAAGTGAGGACAACCATGTGGTGCCGTCGTTGCTCTGCTCCATGCATGTGATGGTCCAGTACAGATGATCCCAGCCAGTTGTATTTTTCACTCTTATTTTAGTCGAGCATCCTTCACCAACTCTCCTGATAAAATCTCTTTAGAAAATTACTTTTTAAATTAACTGCTTCTATGGGAAGATTAGTGCTGAGGAAACACATAAACCTGACAGTTGCCCCTCATTCCACTCAGAGGCTGTATATGTGCAACTCTGCACATGGTTGCCTAGGCTGTTGACCCCTCCATCCCAGCCCCTCGGAAGCATAATTCATGGTGATAAGGGCCTCTGTCAGTGGCACAGCCAGCCTGGGCATTACCCTCTGGACCTCCCTGTCCAGCTTTTGAGTTCTCCACCAAGAACATCTGCCCTAGACCTAACTCACTTTCATCTGAGAATGAGTTTAGATATGGAGTGGATGAGGGGGAAAGAACACTGAGGGGATGCAGAGCCCCTCCAACAAGGCTCTGCCTCCTTCCTAGATTCCCTGGCTGGTCCAGTGGTCCTATTGCCCCTGTTTAGACATCTTCTTTATACAAGTGATGTTGGCTGAATAGCCATTCATTCATTCATCCATTCATTCAAAAAATGTTTATCATGTGTCTACTAAGTTCTAGGCTCTTTTGTAGGCTCTGAGGATACATGACTAAACAAGACAGACTAGGTTCCTGTCCTCGTGGAGAGCCCAAATGAATTAGTGTTGAAATAGCTCTCTGGTTTTCTTTCATTAAAAATGCTGCTGCTAATAATGGATAAAGTTACTATTGGGATGTTCACATCTCTGGGTCTCATAGTCCTTAACTGTAAAATTATGGACATGGACAACATATTTCCAGTGTTGCCTCTGGCTCCAAATTCAACATTTATGTGGATTACGACAGAATGTTAAGTGTATGCAGAAACTGGGAGATAAATTGTTATTCATCTCAGCATATGTTCTCCACCTCCCTCCTCCTTCACCCCTTGCTCACAATACACAGAGCTTGAAGATCATTAGACATCCATCCTTCTCTTTCAATACAACCTCAGAAAAGAAGGTTCGATATCAACATGTACCACAACTAAGAGTCCCCAGTGCATCCCAAACTGACTGTTTCCCTAAATAGTGCAACCAGGCCACCATACTGCTTATGTAACTGATGTGCAACTAATTGTAGATATGGCTCCAGTGGCACTGCTCAGGAGGGATGTTTTGGTCCTCACCTGCTGCTGGTGGAGCATCTGTAAAGGCACAAACACTGTAAGCCTTTCCTTCTCTGCACAAGTTTCTCTATAAATCTCTCTCTCTCTCCGCAGTAATGGAGAGTTTCCAGGCCTCAGGGCTTTGCAGACTGAATAGATGATGAAGTTGTTCTTTCTGTGAATTAGGGCCTCTGTTTTATTACCTGCAATTAGACTGTTAAGTGATGCCAGCCTTCTGTGATTAAATGAGATGGTGGCAGAAAAGTGCTAGCTTAGTGACTGTCTGAGAGCAGTTCTTAGTAGGTGGCAGCTCTGTGCCTGTGTTCTCCCAAGGCCGCCCTTAGTCCGGCCTTTAGAGTGAGCAGAGGATATGAGAGGGGCACTGAGGGAGGCACTAGCTGTGAAACGGACTGGCCCAGCTTACTTGCAGGCTTGACGTCTCCATACCCCTTCACAGAGTCAACGTTATTAAATTTACCCTTCCCTTTCTGTCTCTGCTATTTAGCATCTCTCCTGCTACTGTGTGATTACTAGATGTGCCTTAGAGCAGAACTGTCCAAGATGGGAGCCGCTAGCCACCTGTGGCGATTTAAATTTAAATTAACTGAAGTTAAATCAAATGAAAACTTTAGTTTCTCAGTCACACTAGTCACATTTCTAGTGCTTCATAGCTACAAGCTATTGTACTGCACACTCAAATATAGAACATTTGCAGAACTGCAGAAAGTCTCCTGACCCTTCCAAATCACTCAGAAAATTATTCTGAATTCTAATAAGGGAGCACAGCTTTCAATGACTGTGAAATGCTGACGTTGGACAAAATCAGTTATGCTGAGTAAGATTTATCCTTCAATTCCCCATTTGGATGATGGTTCCCAGTCTTGTTTCTGATTGGTCCTTTTGTTCATAGACCTCGGCAGTGATAGGGTCTCCAGAATGGCACTTACAAAGTTTGAGGAGGGAAGACACCTGCTAGGTGGGTGTTTTCGAGTCCTGGAAGGATTATTTAAAAACTCCCAGGCCCTTCTGATATTTTCTGAGCCTCACCTCCTCCAGTGGAGAATCATTGAGGCACACTGAGGTCCCTCATGGGGTGGAGTTCCGAAGTCTCTGTACCTGGGGTCAAACCCCAGTTTGGTTGCTCAGTAACTGGGTGACCTTCAGTGTGCCCATAACATTTCTGAGCCTCTTCTCATCTGTAATGACACCCCTGATCTGACAGCAGGGCTACTCTAATAAGGGTCTGAATGTTTAGTAGGAGCTCACCAGGGTCAATGTCTTATAATGCAAAAGCCTGGGGTTTGGATTCAGATGGGCCTTGTTTCAAGTCCTGGTCTTCTCTTGTGACCTAGAGCACATGTCTTATGCTTTCTGCATCTCAGCTTCCTCACTAGTAAGAAGTAATAATGACCGGATACACCAGACAGGGTATGTAAAAGGCCTCACATCAGCCACACAGTAGGGGCTTTTCCCTGAGACACAACACCGGCCCAGTTTGTTGTTAATACTGCAAAATATCCACAATCTGACTGTGTGAGGTCAGGCACATCCTCAACAACAGGGTGATTATTAAGCTTATGTCATTGTAAAGTACATGACACATAGTAGGTGCCCTCCAAATTTAGCACCTTCCTTCACCTACATTTACAGCCTTTGTGACCTTTACCAAGTCAACCAACTTGTTGGAGCAACAGTGAAGCCTGTCTTACCAAGTGGTGGGGTACAAGGATGAACAGAAATGATGTATATACACAGCAGCTTCAGGGAAACTGATAGAAACTCTGCAGAGCAGCTGTTTTTATTATAGCACATCACGTGGGGCTTGTGCAGTTCTGTTTTTAAAAAGTTTTATAGGGCTTGGGCTGAAGCTCTACTTTCCTATGTAGTGCTGATGAAATTATGGACTAGCTCCTGGAAAAATACACACAGTTCTGCACCAATCCACTCAGCTCACTTTCGAGGAGCTCAGTGAGTGATCGCTGAGGATGCTGACCCATGGCAGGGTGCTGTCGGTTGAAAGGATACACAATTTTGAATTCAAGTAAGAATCAGGCAATTATGCATCCAAAATTCTAGGAGATTATTATCTTTCTTTTTTCCACAGCTGTGAACTAGGAGTGTCAAAAGTCATGGACAGATTAGAGGAAAAGGCGAAATTCCATTTGCTGAGTGCCACTGTGTGCCAGCTCTCTGCTAGTTGTCTCACTAAAGTCACCCAGCAGCCTGGTGAGGACAGAGATATTAGCTCCATTTTACTGGTGAGGAAAGAGAGAAGAGAGACCCTTGTTTTGAGGCCCACAAGGGAAGAATTGAAGGGGTATATGAATTTGTATAGAAAAAACCTACAACTTAATTCTCAATAACTTATAATGGAAACAGCTTCTTCTTTGATTATGATGCAGGCCACATGCCAGAGTGGTATTAGTACTTCCTCGGTTTGTCATCAAGGAACTGAGATTTTCATATCCCATTATAGTCTTTGCAGGTAACTCGAAGCAGCATTTTGTTCTCTATCACGGCTCTGAAATTATCATGGCCCTTACACTCGGCACCAGGAGTGGTATAACACATTTTTACTTAATGTGTTGATAAAAGAAAGGACACATATCACTCCATCACAAGTTTGTTTTGAAATTTTATACTTGGTTTTCAATATATTTCATTGTAGCTTTATGTATTTTTTCTAATACATTTAAAAACAGTATACTGAGATAGACTTCACCATACTGCTGAAGGGGGCCAGGGTATAAAGGTTGAGAATTGTTAAAATAGAGGTTCAGACAGGTCAAAAGTATTGTCTAATTTGGTGAAATCAAGATTTGAATCCAGGTCTGGGTAACCGACCACAGAAGCTGCAAGTCCTTTTCCAGGACCAAAGGAGAATGAAGGGGAGGATGTATTGTGAAAGGGCTCTGATTCTGGCCAAGTTCAGATGATTAATAGAAACAAAGCTGGGGTAGGTGACAGTTAAAGAGATAGATTTTACCTCCATTTAAGTGACATAAGTTCCCAGAGGTACATTCTCACAATGAAATATGACACAGCAATGGGAATGCATGAGCTATTACTACACATAACAAATTGGATGGGTCTCACAAAAATAATGCGAAGTAAAAGAAACTGGACACAAAAGCATTCATACCTTATGATTCCAGTTAGATAAAGTCAAGAACTGTAAAGCTAATCTATGGGGACAGGAATGACTACATATAGGATGTGGGGATTAACTGGAAGGGGGAACGAGGAATCTTCCTGGGGTTATGGAATGTTCCAGTTCTTGATTAGATGGTGGTTATCCAGGTGTATACATTTATCATAACTTAAATAATACACTTAAGTTCTGTGCATTTCATTATATGTGCACAATACTTCAATTAAAAATAATAATGATAAAAATGACTATTTCTGTTTTACCGATGGACCAATGAGGAGAGAAATTAAATAAAGAGGGATCCTTATTGTCTAATCTTTTTGTTGTGATGGGAGTTGGAAAGGAAGTAGGTACATGTGACCAGCCCAATGGTTTCTGTGTGGGGAAACTTCTCACTCAGGTTCTTCCAAATGGCTGCCCACCTCACTCAGGATTGAATCAAGTCCTTACATTGTCCCACAAATAGAATGACTAAATAAACTGTGTTGTAGTCACACAAAGGAATACTATCCAACAATTAGAATAAATGAACTGTAAGTACACACTAAACGTGGTCGAATCTCACAATGTAATTCTGAGCAGAACAATCTTGATATGAAGGAGAACATAGTGTATGATTCCATTTATATTAAGCATAAAATAGGCAAAATAATCTATGAAGTTAGAGGTAAGAATAGTGGTTCCCCTTGGGGAAATGATAATGGAAGGGGATATGGGAGCCTTCTGGGATATTGGTTGTGTTCTGTTTATTGATCTGGGAACTGGTTACACGGGTTGTTTTTTGCAATTAAAAATAATGGCATAAGGCACCAAATAGTTAAGGCTCACACCTCAGAGGGGTTCTGAGTTACACAATTGTGTTCTATGTAAATGGCACCCCCCAGAGTTGTGCAATGCTATAGTTCTGCCTAGAAGCTGGCTGTCCCTGAATCACACACAGCCCTCCTCTCGGACATGGACAGGGAATGTGATATTGTTGCCAGTGCCATAGCACCACCCCTGGGGCACTTGCGCATGCAGCAGAAGAACACTGCCCCCACTTACTCAGGGTCCTGCACGGAGCCTCCCACACAGTGGAACCTCTCGGGCACGGTTTTCCAGTCTTTAGCCATTTTCACCATGGCGCCTGCGTCAAGGACCCCATAGCCAAAGAGGTGATTAAACTCCAGGCCGACCCCGTTCCGCCGCCACTGATGGACCTCATCATGAAGCTGGTTCCGTTTGGAGGTGAGCACAGTTAGATGTTGCATGTCTCTCCAGGTCAGAGCCAGGCTGGATACCAGAGACAGAGAGAGTTCAAGAACAAAGCAAGGGGGAGGGCAAGAGAGGGAGACAGACACAATTACTGAGATAAAATCCTTGTAAGATTTTGGAACATCTATGAACTCTCAAGTCAAGGGAGAATTTCCACATACTATTTAGAACCATTATATATATATGTCAATTAAAAAAATTTGCCTATTTTACTTAAATTTATTTCAAATGCACATTCTAACACACATGCTGAAATGGCTAAAATGAAAAAGACTGACAATATCAAGTGTTGACAAAGATATGAAGTGACTGGGACATATGTACTTTGTTATAGGAGTGTAAGTCATTGCAACTACTTTGGAAAACTATTTGGCTGTATCTTCTAATGTTGTCCCTATGCTTAAGCTATGGCCTAGAAATTCCATTTCTGGGTACGTATCTAACAAAAATGTGGGTTTATTTTTACCACACGTATCTACTAGAATGTTCATAGGCCCAAACTGTGAAGCCCTCAAAGGCTCATCTAGAGTAAAATGAATAAATCAATTGAGATGTATTTATAGAATGTGGAATACTATACAAGAATGGATAAACTATAGCTACTTTGAATAACATGATTGAATCTCACAAATGGAATGTTGACCTATAGAAGCCAGACACTGAAGAGAGTATACTGTATGACAGTCAATTTTTTTTTGAAGTATAAAAACAGGCAAAGTTAATCTATGTTGTTAGAAGTCACATTAGTAGTTAGTGGTTGGAAGGGGACACAAAGGGGCTTCTAGGTGCTGGTAGTACTCTGATTCTTGACCTGGGTGTTGGCTGCATGGGTGTGTTCTATTTGCGAAAATGAGGCTGTTAATTCTTCAAGGGAAGAGACAATATCTTCAGCATATTTGTATCCCCAATGGTCAAAGCAGCCCTTGGCATATTGTCTATTCAGTGAATAAAAAAGTCTGCTTGCAAATGCTATTGTCTTTAAAGTTACTGTCTAATGTTACTCAGTGTCTGTGTTTTTCAAACTGCAAGTCATGACCCTTTTGTGGGCTAGGAAATCAGCTTATTGTACAAGTTACCCACCTGAGATATACATTAAAATCCACTGCTCACGCCACACCTCAGACCAATCATACCAGACTCTCTGGGAGTGGGGCTCAGGCATCGTGATTTGTTAACACTTCCCAGCTCATTCCACTAGATAGCTAAAGTTGAGAACCAGTGCTTTAATGTATGGGACCATCACTAAAAATGCATAGAATAGAATAGAATAGAATAGAATAGAAAAGAAACCAAGCGCTGTGTACATTGCATGTAATATGGAGAGCTATTTTTTCATGGAACTTTTGGAGTGTGTGTGTGTGTGTGTGTGTGTGTGTGTGTGTGTGTGTGTGTGTGTGTGGTGTGTTGGGTTGCAATGCAAAATTTTGTCTCACTGAGAGTCACGGTCAAAAATGTTGGAAAAACCCTGCACTACGGTTCCCTTCAGAAGTCAAATAATTCAAAGGCCTGGGAACAACATAACTCATTTGATAAAATTTCAACACACCCAGTATCATTGCTTTGAAGTTTTAAATCAGAGCCAAAAGATGCTAATGATTCATATGCTCTTGCAATGTAGACCTTCAGTTTTTAAGGAGAAAGTTTCAAGGACAGTAAATGGTTATTTGAGAATATCAAGACATATCTTGGACATATGGTCCCTGGGACCCAGGTGAACGGTGTGAAACTTCCTGAAGTTGATAATGAATTAAAGCTCAGTGTTTTGCCAGAATAAGATTCAGAATTCATTAAACCTGGAATGGTGTATAATTGACAAATAAAAGATTTGGTGGTTTTGAGGTGATCTGAGGGCTGACTGGCAGGTGGAGCATCTCTCATCTTTGCTGGAGTCTGCCACAAAATTGTGCTATGCTTTCCAACACTCGGAGAAGGACCCCTTCAGATGCTTCTCCATAGACTTATTCTCATGGGATCCATGGTGTGGGGAGAGAAAGAGGAGAGAGAATGAGAGAGGGAGGGAGAGACGGAAGGAGGGAGGGAGAGTGAGAGAGAATGAGAGAGGGAGGGAGCTGTTCAGCCAGTCATTTGCATATGTCAGAAAAGTAAAACTGCATCTCTCCTATTTCCCTCTTCTAAGCAATTTCAGAATTGACAGAATGCACTATTGTATAAGGTAGGTATTTCATGCTATCCTACCATAGCAGCTCAAGAATCTTAGGTAATACCCATTAAATAATAAAAAATAAATTTACAGAGTACCTGTAATATAAAGCATCTACAATATAACACTGTGTTTGGTGTTATAAGACAAGTAACATAATATGTTCTTTCCTGTTCTAAAATATTTTATGTAATACTTGGGAAAAAAAGACACATATATGTGGAAAAGTACTGCACAACGAAGTGATTCCACGAATGTCTATTGAGCGTCTACCACATCCAGGCACTGTCATAGGAAGGCTCCTGCCCTCTCAGAGCCTACAGCCTTGGGTGATAGAGAGACAACTCAATATTTAAAAAGGAACAAAACCACAGTGAGATATTACTCATGCCTATCAGAGTAGCTATTACCAAAAAGACAAAAGATAACAAATGGTGGGCAAGGATGTGGAGAAAAGGATGTGCACTGTTGGTGGGATTGTAAATTGGTGCAGCCACTCTGGAAAACAGCACAGAGGATTTTCAAAATGTTAAAAATAGAACTACCATATGACCCAGCAATTTCACCTCTGGGAATATATCCAAAGGAAACAAAAACACTAACTTGAAAGGATATAAGCACCCTCATGTTCATAGCAGCATTATTTACGATAGCCAAGACATGGAAACAATCTAAGAGTTCATTGATGGATGAATAAAGAAGTTTTGGGGTGTGTGTTTGTACACAATAAAATATTATTCAACCATAAAAATACAAGGAAATTTTTTCATTTGCAAAAACATAGGTGGATCTTGAGCACATTATGCTAAGTGAAATAAGTCAGACAGAGAAAGACAAATACTGTATAATTTCACCTACATGTGGAATCTAATAAAAGGAAAACCAAACCCAAACTCATAGAAAAAGAGATAAGATTAGTTGTTATCAAAGGTGGGGTTGGGAGGAGGTGTAAATGGAATAAGGTGGTCAAAAGGTACAAACTTCCAGTTAAAAGAAAAATAAATACTAAGGATGTGATGTCCAGCATGATGATAACTTAATTAACAGTGCTGTATGATAAATATGAATGTTAAGAGAGTAGACTCTAAAAGTTCTTATCACAAGGAAAGATTTTTTTCTTTTTTTTTTTATTGTATCTATATGAGATGATGAATGTTAACTAAACATTGTGGTAATCCTTTCATAATATATATGTCAAACTATTATGCTACATACCTTAAACTTATACTATACAGTGCTGTATGTCAATTATACCTCAATAAAACTGGAAAAAATAAATAAAACGGGAGGGCTGTCATGAAGGGGAGCTAGGATGCTGAGAGAGCCAACAGTGGAGCTCCTGTGTTATCCCACCAAGGGCATCTCAGGCCCTGTGTCAGAACCATGTCTGGGGTAGCAACAAATTCAGATTCTTGGCTTCAACCCCAGCTCTCCCAATTCAGTTTTTTGGAGGTTGTGATGCTGAGAATTTGCACTTAAGACAACTCCTAAGATGATTCTTGTACGCACTGGTCTAAGATGGCAGTTCTCAAACTTTGGCTATATGTGTGAATCAAATGTTAAAAAATGATGTCGGATGGGACCCAGAGATGATTCAATTTGCTTGCCCAAACATCTGGCATTTCTAAGACGTAGCCAAAGGCTTGAGTAAAACTTGTCTAGAGGAGTGGTTCCTAATTTCCTGAGCAGCACTGGGGATATATGTTAAAGTTACAGATTTCTAGGTGCTCTCCTGGAGATTCTGAGTCTGTGAACCTGGGAGGGCTTGGATATCTGTTTTTAATAAGCACTCCAGGAATTCTCATTATCAGGAAATTCAAGATACTCTGGTCCAGGGGTTCAGCAAGGATCCCTTAGGAAGCAGCATTTTAAGCCAAGGTCACGGGGATGAGTAGGAGTGACTGACTGAAAATACAGGGAAGGGGAGAGTTCTAGGGGAGAGAAGGTTCTGGAAGGAAGGATCTAGGGGCCAGAGAAGACAAGCATCATGCAGGTGAGAAGTTTAAAAAAGTTCAGGAGGGCAGGAGACCTAAGTGTGACAGAGAGGGAGATCCAGGAATTTTAAGGCAGGAGAGGGTGACAGGGTGTTCATTCACATTAGTACACTGGAACTTTATGTCAAGTGACAGCCAGTAAAGGCAGAATGAGACGTGATCTGATCTTCTTTATGAACAACAGGGAGCATGGGACTAGAAGGCATGACCATACAAGTCAGAGGCTGCTGCAGGAATCTGGCCCAGGTATGGCCATAAGGAACAAAGCTGGGAGCGAGCGGTCACAAGGCTGTGCATGCGTAAATACCAAATGTTCAACAAAAATTGTGACATTTGTGCATCTGGCTCCAATCACTTGTAGGAAATTGTGATGTTCCAAGGACAGATGTTTAATTCTCCTAAGCCACTCAGGGTAGACCAGCTGGCTCTTGGTTGAGAGCGAGCACGCAAAGAGATCAAAGTAGAAACCAAGGTGTCTAGTGGAGATGGAGGATGGTTATGTCTTCATGTGGAGAGGCCAGGGCTCCAAAGAAAGAGGTCACTCAGGACACTGTGGAGAAAATCCTGGACACTGTGGCAGAGGTCTTGAGCAAGAAGTGTGGAGCTCTTGGGAAAGCCAGGAAGAGAATGGCCTTGCACGACTGAAAGAGGAATCTTGTACTGGGCAGACTCAGGAAGGACTGTTTCCTAAACCACCTAAAGTTGGTCCTCGCAAGTGTATTACATACTCACAATTGTTCACCTATGTATAATTGGAAGAACTAGATCACCTATGGAGTTTTGCACTAGCTAAAACGTACAGTAGGTTTACCAGCTTACCATCACCTTTCAGAGTCCTATTTATGGTATCAAATTCTCCTGGACCCAATTCACATTTTTTTCCTAATGATCAAGACAGCAAAGGGAATTTAAGGAGAGAACATGCATCTTTAGAGAACTTGAAAACTGAATGTTTTACAGAGGTTGCAGTGTTAAGATTGGAGGAAAGACTTCTACTAACATCTGGTACATTCTAGAAGCCAATAGAATTTTAATCCCTCTACTTACTGGATATAATCTTTATCTGAACAGAGTGAGGTTGTGAACCCCAGCAAGCAGCTTTATTGCTCCAGGCCTGGCTCTCTTATGCATAAGAAAAGATATTTGGAGTAGGGAAAAATCCACTTGTTTTCTTTCAGCTTTGGAATTCAGAGTTTATCCTCTACAATCTGACAGGACTAAAAAACAAGTTTAAGGGTTTGGATTATTTCCAGTTTGAGAAAAATAATGCATTTGTAAGGCAAGCTGGTATTTTCTCCACAGTCCCTATTTGCCTAACTCTTATAAACTGTGAGAGAAAACCTAGTTTACATGACACCCTAGTGTAGATGTGGTGTGCAAAATCTCATTTTGAAGAAATTAAAGCTTGATTTTGTGCATTGCTTTTGAGGAAAACCAGTTCGTTCATTCACTGCAGCCCACTGCCCTGGGCAGAATGAGTGATGAGACTCTCAGCCCAGATGGTGGCTCTTCTAAGTCACATAGTTGAGCCAAGGAAAGATCATAGAGTTGGAGCCCAGGCTCCCTAAGGTTTAAATCCCAGCTCTGCTATTTTCCAGCTGTGTGAATTTGGACAAGTTACTTTAACAATCCAAGCCTCAGGGTTTCCATCTATAAAATGGGGATAAGGCCTTAGAGGTTTGTTGCAGGGTGCAAATGTAGGTTACCACGTGAAAAGTAACTAGCATGGTAATGGACACTCAATAAAGAGGTTATTATTATTAACAATAAAATCTATTGCATATATTGAGCATTGATGTTAGAAGAGAATAGACAGCTTCCCAGGTAAAGTATTGGTCACAATATTTTAAAGTAAGTAAACATTTTTCAGCTTTAAGTCACATTCAACCCTAAAATCTACACATATCTAATTAAAAAATATAGTTTCTTAAAGCCATGATATTTTTATCCAAAAAGTCATAGGAGACTTATTGATGATCTAACTTTCTATTTTTCAGATAATCGAGACAATAGAGATCCGAAGATGAGTAATTGCCCACTTAGTTGCTAGAAGACACTAGCATTTCTTTCTTTTCAAGCTATCCTTCTTCCTTCCATAATAAGAATTTTAAGAATAATAAGAATTTTATTCAGAACAGCAATGTTATCAGCAACAAAACTACATTTTCTAGCCTTCCTTGCAGTCTGGAGGGGTCTTGTGACAGTTCTGTCCAATGAGAAATAAGTAGAAGTCACTGGGTGGGGCTTTTTGGAAAAACCTTTGAACGGGGCTGACTCAGCTGGTCAGTTTCTTTTTTTTCCCCTTTGCTCTTCCTCTTTTCTTGCCTGAAATATGAACACAATGGCTGGAGCTCCAGCAGCATATAGAGAACATGAGGTGGAAGAGCAGAAATCCAGAGAGAGCTGGATTCCCTGACTCATGTGCAGTACCCCCATGTTTGCCCTGGGCGCTTTACCTCTGTATTATCTTTCACATGACAGAAAAATACTGCCCCTCTTCTTGGTTTAGCTATTGTTATTTGGATTTTCTGTCTTCAATCTTGACCTAATCCCAGCACCTGATCGGAGGCTGAGTCTAGATATTCATATTCTGCACAACAACAACATGATTCAGAGGTTCATAGAGCCATTGACTTACTTGGTGCCACACACCCCAGTCCACAAACTAGCAGAGGGCTGGCTGCTTATGTAGTACCTGGAATGGGGTCGGAAAGATAAATTCCTGGGCCATCTGTCCCTAGGGATTTGTATTCAGTGATTTTTGGCTGAAACTTGTGAATTTATCATTTTCAAAACTCCCCCCAGTGCTCAACTTCACCAATTATCAGGGAAATGCGGATTAAAACTGCAATGCAATTCCACTGCACACCTGTACCTCTCATACACTACTGGAAGGAGTGTCAATGGGATCATCCACTTTGGAAAACTACTTGGCGGTGACTTCTGGAGCTGCATATATGTACATCCCTAACTCAGCATTTTGACTCCATAGTAAACACCCAACAGAAATGTGTCCATAGCTTCACCAAAAGACATGTACAAGAATGTTCATAGCAATATTACTCATAATAGCCCTAAAGTGGAAATAACCCAAATATCCACTTATACAATGTAGTAATAATCCACAAGTATGAATGACCTATAACCACACACAATAGCCTGGAGGAATCTCTCAGACTCTCAGAACAAAAGACCACAGACTGGTCCTCAGGTAATGGTCTGCTTCTTGATTTGGGTGATGGTTATGTGGATCTAGTAGCCTTGTAAGAAGTCATTGAGCTGTGCCTAATATTTGTGCCCTTTCCTTAGTGTTCACTGTACTTTGACGAAAGGTTTACATTAAAAAAAATCATCCCCTGGGAAGTCAGTTATGAAAACATTGTTCTAGTCCAATATATAGGCCACTTTACTATAAATGGTTCTTTTGAGGCAAAATTTGCCTCTTTATGAACTTTACCCCTCAAACCTAGCTCAGTCCTCTAGAACCACACAGAAAACTCTGAGTCATATAGAGAATATAAAATATTTGAAGGTGGCAGTCACCTCCCACTAAAGAAATCCTTTGATATTTCAACAAAATTGGTCACCCTGGGAAATGTAAGCAATATTCCCTGTGACTCAAGAAGCCATTTTCAAGCATTTGGAGGGAAACATTTTATGAGATTAAACAACAAAGTGGTGACCAGGCAGGAAAGAGGAAGGGTTTCCTTTTCTCCTCTGGAGTCATGGGGCAATTGTTCTCCCTCTTTTTTGGTCCCGATGGGCATACATTTAGACAAGGTAATTTGTTTACTGCATCCAAATTTCTTTGTAAAAGATTTTTTTATTGGTCCTCCGGGTGGGAAAGAGCTCTCCACTGCTGTCATACTTGTCATTGAGGACTCTCAGTTGCCTTGTCCCAAGATAAAGAGAGAAGAGCTGTGGGAACTGTTCATGGAGAGGTTTTCCCTCCTTCTCCTTCTGGGGTCTCTCTTTGTGCTATTTCATGCTAACCAGTGGTTTTAACTGCTGGCTATTGGATCTCCTTTGCTCATAGGTGCAGGAAGCCAGAGGTGCCTCAGAGTTTGTTTCCCTACGTGGCTCTTAGCCAATGACTGGCCAGCACAAGAACATGGGAGCCCAGCTCCTGTGTTTAGAGGTAGAGCAATCTCTGAGACATAATTTATACTCCAGAGCTCTTCATGGGAGCAGGCTGAACAGCTTCATCTGCAGGAAATGCACATAAGCTGTGAGTAAGTTTAGGTCTCTGTGTTTAATAGGACACTATGTGAAAATAGGAATGCTTTGACCAGTGCCCATCTCTTGGTGCCCTAAATTTTCCACCTGACTTTTGTTAGGAGAATCAAAGTGGATTTTTCTGATCCAAAAAGAGGAGTACCTTCCAATTTGGGGTCTTATCTGTAAAAGGAAGATAATTATGCCTTTTCTGCTTGAAGGCAGAGGGTTGGATTAGATAATTGTTCAACGTCCCTTCCCATTCTAGAAATCAACTTTTGCTTCCTTTGCAAATCAGAAAATGTAGTGCATATGTGGAGAGAGATGAGCAGGGCTGCCTGGAGAGTAATGCTAGAAGCTCTGGTTGCCTAGCAACGGTTGAGGGATGTGGGATGAGGACTCACTCTGCTTCCCCAGGAGCCTGAACCCAACTTTTCACAAGTTCCTGGTGCTGCATTCTCAGACAACTCCCTACATAGCAGACATTTGCACTCACACCAAGTGCATGGTGCCTGAAGCCCACATGTTCATTGCTTAAACATAAGGCCAGCCTCTGGCTTGCACTAAGAGAATATAGAGTAGCAGGTGGGCAAGTACCTTGGCTGATGCTCACATCCAAGGTGTGCCCAGCAGTAGTGATATGTGGCCTCTCCGTGGGAGGGTGACAACAGAGAGATAGTTCTTTTTTTTACCTATAGCTTGGAAAGTTTCCCAATAAATCCCATTTCTTGGTCTCTACTGCATGACTTTGCCCACCTTGTCTCAGTGTTAAAAAGTGAATCCACTTTATAAGTTAACAAATCTTGAATGGGAGCATCTTGTTTGCCACACATTCTGACATACCTTGCTAGATACTAAGGCTGGTAATGGTTTTCCTTCATTTAGCTGATTGTATTATTGGAGTAAAATAGCCAAGGGATATACAAAGTATAAAGAGAAGTTTTTTTAAAGAAAAAATATCTCCATGCCCCTATTTTGTATCTGAGTAAGTAATTAATATATGCAGTTGGGAGTTGGGGTCTTGCACTGTCCTAGGGATGTAGTTTTGAGGGAGGGAGGGAGGGAGGGGGAGAGAGAAAGAGAGAGAGAGGAGAGAGAGAGAGAGAGAGGGAGAAGAGAGAGAGAGAGAGAGAGAGAGAGAGAGACTTATGGCCTATGGTTCATTTAGAAAATCCCACCAGAGTTCATTGACCCTGACTGTTCATGGGCTCTCACACCCTCTTTTGCCATGGACATCTGGTGTTGGGTGGAGAGATACATGTTAAAACACCCTGCAGAGCTGCCCCTTGGCCTCAAGCTGGAAACATACTTAGCCTCTAAAGCCAGTGCAAACACTCCAGCTGCCTCAGGAGCAGCTGCGGATGTCCCAGAATGCCTCAGAGTGCAGTTTCCATACAAATCTGTGGTTGCCTGAAAGGGAAGATATTGAGTAATGAGTGAATAAATCACACTATTTTGAACCCCAAAACAACATGGAGCAGAAGACTATTCATTTCTTTTATTTAAGCTCAATTTTGTTCTGAAGAATACTAAGATGAAGGTAAGAATAAACTTAGCACTCATATATCTATCTATTTTGTCATACATTTTTATGTGAGCTTCCTAGTAGCCCATGCAAAAAGGGGCACACAATGAGTTGTAGTTACAGCATCTACAAGATAAAAAAATAAAAGTAATTGTTCAGAGAAGAATATCTGTAGCTATTTCACAGACTAGAGAAATTTATTTCCTGGATCCTAAAAGGAAACATGATAGGTAGAAAATGACTAGTCAATACCAGCACCATAGTCAATGCAATGGTGAGTTTTGTTGCTTGGGATCAGCTCAGAAAACCCAAGGGCCATTGTATCAGCATTTTCCCTTCAGGAAGGAAGTAATGGCATTCCCAAAGAGGAAGAATAACATGCTCAGCTAAAACTTGCTAGAAGGAGAGGCCATTACAAGAAAATGTTTCTCTACATCTAAAATTCATGAAGAGATTCTGAGACATGTTGAGCCAAGATAACCTATATGTGAGTGATTACCTCCACAATTCTTCTTAAGTGGGGAGATCTTCTTAATGACCAACCAAGTTTTAAAGAACTTTCACAAAGAGGAAAACATCATTTTCAATGTTTGTAAGAGTCAGGTTTTCATTAAAATCATGTATGAACTATAAGAATTATCCTTGCTACTCTGTAGGATCCTCAACTGGGCCTATTATTTTTGAGGAACAAAGTACCAGGGATGTTTAAAGGCATCTATTGGAGAAAATTACAATATTCAGAGGGAACTCAAGGCACTTTTCCAGCCCAAGTAGAAAGATAGTCCTAGATAAAGTTGAGTACAAAGTATCACCATTGGGAGGCCTTTGGGAAAGGAGTTTCCAGGGGGAGTAGTGAAGCATTACAAACAGAACAGGTTTGGGGCCTCCCTCGCTTGTCTCTTTCTGCTGCTCTTCTCTCTTTCTGTGTAGGATAAGAGGAGCTGAAGTCTCTTTCTGCTTGGGAGGAGCTAGCACACTCTCTATTCTCTTCAAGACTAAGGAGGAACCCAGGAGGGCTCATGGAGGGAGCCAGGCCAAAGTCTGTATCTCCTGTAGGTAAAACGATCTCATGTGAGAGCCTGGCCAGCTTGCCAAGGTGGACCCACGTGAGAACTTGGAATAGAAGCACTAGTTGGCAGTGATTGTATTCTGAGTTCTTGCTATCCACCCATAAGAAGCCCCAGCTGAGGTGGGTAGCTGG